ATTGCGTCAAGCATCGCGCATATCGACATCAGTGAAAAGGTGATGACCCACATTGTCAGAGCCGCCTTCAGCAGAAGGCTCGGCCATATTCCGATCATCTTGATCTTCCATTTCTTCATCTTCATCGTCATCGCTGGAGCTAGCGAACCCGCTCAGCAGAGAATTACCGCTGTTTAGCCCGAAAGCTCCGCCGGAGACACTTCCTTGGTTCATCATGTCGAAGCCCTGGAACCCGGAGCCTCCCACCGAGCCATTCAGGCCAGCGTCAGCAAGCGCCGATGATGTGTTCGCGCTCTGGCCGGAATTGAGCATGCCTTGGCGATGTCCAATCGACATGTCAGGGCGCACCCCTCCAAGAATGGCGTTGTCGCGCTCTCTGGTCTCAGAAAGCGTTTGCTCCACATAGTCTATCCACTCCGGGTTCAGCACATTCTCCATAACCGTGGGAGAGAGCAACTCGGGCGGGTGCCGTTCGCTGAATTTCACAACCTCTTCAGCAATCAAGGTCAAGTGGCCCATGTACCCTAGTCGGATCTGTTTGGTTCGCTGCGCCTCATCACTTCGCTTTTGGCCTTCGACAATGCTCTGGGTGATTCGGCCAGTCTCAAAAACGTCAATGGCCAGCAGACGATTGTAGCCACGGTCCATGGGACCGTTGAACACTTGTTGGACAACATCATAGACAACGTTGTGAAGGAAATTGTTCCAGGGGAATCGGAAAAAGAAGTCCTTAAATACATCCGTCAGAAATTGCCCATGACATAATTTAGTTGCAGACTTACCAAAATAGTCGGTACCACCTTGTTTTCAACGAACATAATCTTGAGATAGTCACCAACAACAGGTTGCCCGTTGGAATCAATCTGAACATCTGGGTGCAGCTGTCGCGGCACATCACCGTCGTTTGGCGCCGAGTCGGAAGCGGGTGGAACTGAGCTTGAAGCATCGCCGACCTGGCCAGCAGTATCAGGCGTCAAGGAGCTCTGTTGATTATTTGTTTGGTCTACGAGAGGAGCCGATTCCTGTTCGGCTTGGGAAGACGCCGTGGTCTGTCCTTCCATACCGTTGGAAGCCGCTTCTGCAGCTGGCTGGCCTTCCTTGCTGGTCTGTCCACCGCCCAGGCTAACTTCGGCTATACCTGACGCAGTAGCTGACACAGGATCGGAAGTAGGCGTATGTGCCCGAACCTGACTCGCAGGGTTTCCATCGTGTGAGCCGTCCTCCGATGCGCCATTTGAAGCATTTTCGGCTGTTTCTGTCGGTGTGTGCTGCAAGGGAGCTGCGGACTCCGGCTTGGACTCGGCGCTGCTGGTGTCCTTCACTTCAGCGTCCTTCTCCTTGTCGACCAGAACACCGGATGCGCTAACGTCTTCGAAGCTTTCCTCGCCCGTATTCGCGACCTCAAGCACTCTAGAGCCTTCGGGGGAACCGTAGCCAATGACGGATCCATTGACAAAGTCCACCGTAGAGTCGTTCCCATCGAATGCCGATGTCTCTTCGCGGTGCGGGTTGAAGACACCTTCGCGCATGAGCCTCTCGCGCTCAGCATCACGCTGCCGTACGTAATCGTCACTCCCCGGCTCGTTCAGAAGGCCCATGTTACTGCAATGTAGCAGTTCGGCCATCAATTCGCACGTCTTGAATCTGTCAAAGCCCAGGGGCTCGATCTTGGCACCCCAAGCTGAGTTGAGCTTGCCCCTTTCTACACTTCTCACCTTGCCCCCATCGTTCACAGTGTGTTTCGAGCTTTGAATCAGCGCCATGAAGTCCGGTATGTGTTTGGCAAAAAGCCGAAGCAAATTCCCGAGGTAGATCGGATCGTATGTGGTGGGGAGTGAGTCCGGACCATTGATATTCTCAGGATCGTAGTCGGAGTTGTTCTTCCGGATCACTTCAATGACGATACCAACACCGACTGTCAGAGGGTTTCCACCTTGCAGCATGGCCTTGATGAGACTTTCCACACACGGCACGGAGACCAGCTGACGGGTGAGGCTGTTCGGGCCAATGCAGGATTGGTCATTCTGTGTTGCGTTCGCGGATATGGTGATGATGGCTTTGAGGAAATCCCCAGCCGAGGTCTGCACCGAGGCAGGGTGATCCGGGGACAGAAACGAGAGGAGCGTGGGTATGAGGTTTTGAGTTTTCAACCACTGCGGACGTTGATCAGCATGAATCACTTACAGGCGAAAACAGTCACCCTCAACTTACATCAACAATGCCATGGCCACCTTCTACCTTCTCCAAGCTGATGATTTTGAGTAAAAGGTCCATGACCATGGGATTGTCCACGTGCTGCAGAATTGCCGGTACAATTCCCTCCATTGACTTGAATAGCTCCAGCATTTCACTGGTTTTCTTGTCGAATAGAGTTTCGTTCACTTTCGTAAAGTAACTCGCCTGAGCCGAGTCCAGAGGAGACGAGCGCCGCAAAAACCCCCAGAAATCTCGTAAGTTGTCGGGATTGAGCAGAATGGACTCCACAATCGACCATATCTCCGACGACAGAATTTCGCATGCGACGTAGGCTCGCTTCATGCGATCCTTCTCCGCCCGCTCCAGGTCTTCGGGGTCCAAAATATCCTTAAGGGGGTCACCCCCCTTGGCCTCTTCCGTTGCATCATCATCTCTGTTCGTCTGCGCATTGTTCTCGTGATCGTCATCATCTTCGTCGTCTTCATTCACCAGACTAGGCGCAGTGACATAATCCATGAGTCGTTTAAGAACATTATCTTCTCGTAAGAATTCTATGAGCTTCGTATTATTTTGTTTGAGCTCTTGGATGAGCTCAGACTCATCCAACAGCTCTTCAAGGGTGACATCGGGCTTGTCTAGCAGGGTATCGATGGCGGAGATACTCGCATATCCTCCGAAACGCCAAAACATGATGAATTATATAACTGGGCGAAAAGAGTCATGGAAAGGAAGCACAGTAGCACGGGCACTTTTGGTCGCAGGTCGTCGCCGGAACGTCGTTACGGTGAGCCGAATATGATACAAAACCGTGGGTGAGCGGAGGTGGTCTAGTATATGAGTCTCATGCAAAGTGTTGAGTATGCAATGGTTACTCGGTGAAAAGTCATATATCGAAACAGACTTCGGAAGGACTGAGTCGTTTTGAGATCGAATCGTCCCGAGACACAAGACAGGAGAGAGGAGAACGATAGGCAAGATAAACCGGGTCAGAGCGGCCAAGCGCTACATGCGCAAAATAGACAAAGTTAGTAAGGTTGCATGCGCCTCAAGCGTTTCAATAGAGAAAGATCGGTGAATATGGGCTGAAGAATTATCAGGGGCGGGCTTCTCAGGCAGTCGGGGAAGGAGTCAGGTCTCGAAGAGCCTATGAGGGCGGCAAACGACAGACTTTACGGGGATGACAGCAGAAGCAGCAGCAGGACAAAAGTGCATTGCCATAAAATCCGAAAAGGGCAAGGAAGGAGGGAGGAGGTCCAGACCACGTACCTTTCACGACCTGAGAGAGTGAGAGAGTGACAAAAGACGAAACAAGAGCAAGGTCCGTTGTTTGGGAGGGCTGAAGCGACCCACGGGCAATGTAATCACTTTGTCAGCCCGGCACTGCACAGGCGAAACCAGTCCGTCAGATGGGGGGAAAGGAGGAAGGATAAATTGAGGGTCAACAACCCAAAGGCTTAAAGTGAGGATCACAGGCTGACAGTTCGCAGGATCACGTTTGACTTGTGGTGCGCTGGCGGGAGTGTCTGGATCGGCCGGCAAGACTGAATTGATCCCTGGAAGGTGACGATTGAACAAGCAGGGCGGAAATACCCAACAAGCCCGAGGAGCGACGGCGGGGAACCGAAACCAGATACGCGAGGGAGAGGGGGGCAATAATGGATGATTGTGAAAGGACCACGAGTGGATGGAATTAGTTAATTTCAGACGCTTAATAATCCGCGGCGAGAACGGTAAGTTAAGTAAGTATTGTAGTTATACAGTTTCTAATCGGTTATTCCTCCTTCTAGAAGTCCAATGGTTGTTTGTGGTTGATGAGGCTGTCCTCCAGACGTTCGCGTAACCACTCCGGAACGTTCCCTTCAAGACGCACGAGTTGTTATTACCTACTCCTTGCAGGTTTGGTGCAAAGGCCGGCAAAGTATCAGGTACCGCACTGGCCTTATCCGCTTGTGCACAGATACAAGTACCGGGTACTCTGTCTTGTTTCGTTTCACCGGAGCTGGGGGGGGAGGAGGCAGCTGGGCGGTATGTTACCGTCACTCACCTTACACTATAACTGTTCTTATCATCAATAAAATACCATTTGGTGGTCAATTCACCTTCATGAATCATGGTGTCCAGGTGAGTAATCTCAGCCAGACCATGCTAACAAACACATAAATATTCACCCGGACTCGGGTGAACAAGCGTGTGCTTAGGCTAGACTCGGGGGCCAGTAAGCAGATCAGCCTTGCAGTCATTAACTGAAGACAATACCCCATACTCCGTCACTCCGGTTCATCTGCCTCGGATCACGAGTCAAGTCTGGATTTGATCATCAGGACAATTCTCCAGTTATAGCCTGGAATATAATATCATATCTGTCATCTAATTCACTGGTCAACATCACACTGACAATTTTAGCCAGAAACGGCACATGAACGTATCTCCTGCATAATACCACATCTTACTGTATTATACCTCATCACGTGGGGGCAATTCTAGGTAGCAGCCTAAGCTTCGTCTCGAGCGCAACTGATAACATTCACCCCCGCTGTTCTGACCTAATACTTTTTTGTATTATAATACCTGGTCGAATCATCTCGCGCTCACTATCACAAATATTCTGTAATTCATGAAGCCTTTTTCTCGCCCAAAGCCCAACTCACAGGACCACCCGACACAGCTCTATACCCGACCGGTTATCTCCAAGGCGGCGAGGCGAGACCGCGGCCGCTAAGGACCGAACCAGACCATATCCATCTATCTACCCCCCCCCCTCCCCCCAATTCAGGGCGGCCTGTTCAAGACCCTCAAGCTTGCCACAAGAAGCTCATCCCACAATCCTCTCTCATATCCAACCAGCCAAAATGAACCGGCTATTCGGTACGAAGAATACGGCACCCAAGCCAACCTTAGACGGGGCCATAACCAATGTACGTTTTCCCTTCCCCTTCCCCTAACAAGTCATCCATCCATCAATGTTGTTGCCCAATCCATCCATCTCGTCCCTTCATCCGCCCGACCCCGCATGATTAACACTTCTCCCACCCGGACAGGTGGAAACCCGCATCTCCAGCATTGACGTCAAGCTTGCGGCACTCAACTCGGAACTATCAACCTATCAAACGAAGATCTCGAAGATGCGCGACGGGCCGGGAAAAACCGCCTTACGGCAGAAGGCGCTCAAGGTACTCCAGCGGCGGAAACAGTACGAAGCGCAGCGGGATCAGCTGTCGCAGCAGTCGTGGAATATGGAGCAAGCGGGCATGATGCAGGATAATCTGAAGAATGTGATGACGACGGTGGATGCGATGAAGACGACCACTAAGACACTCAAGAAGCAGTATGGTCAGATTGATATTGATAAGATTGAGCGGTTGCAGGATGAGATGGCGGATTTGATGGACGTGGGGAATGAGATTCAGGAAAGTATCTCGAGGGCGTATGATGTTCCTGAGGATGTGGATGAGGCGGAACTGGATGCTGAATTGGAGGCGCTGGGTGAGGAGACTATGATGGAGAGCTCCATGGCGGATAGTGCCATGCCGAGTTTCTTGCAGGATGAGGTGGCGCCGCCGCAGTTTATTGATGAGCCGCCGGAGCAGACGAAGGTTAAGGAGCCTGCTAGTGGGCTGGGTTAGGATTACATACGTGGTTTACTATGAGAATAGCGGTTTAGGAGTTATGATCATGGTGGCATCGGAGTTGGGATTTTTTCTTGTTATCTTTTCCTTCCCCTCAAATTATCGATTAATCTGTGTTCATTCTACGAACATTTATTGTATATGTTCTGCTCACTTTCTTCCCCTTTACATGTCTGCATCTTCGGAGTGTATCATACCGTACCTCCAGCCTTCTGAGCTACACGGCTTGCACATTCCAGCGACACTTCCTTTCGAAGAAATGTCGTCCCCTTCAGTTCGGCGTTCCATTTGTTTCACGCTCTAGGCCTTGCCGAGTCCAATCAGGACGAGCAGAGCCACGTTCATGACCGCAATGATTACCCAAACAATGACAGCGATGGCAGTAACAAACCAGTTGTTTCTCATCTTGACTCCGTCGGCCGAGGCATTCTCACCGGAGAAGTTTCTATCCGTAGGGACGGTCATGTAACGGTTGCGGCACGTAAAGTAAACCAGAGGAGCGGTGACAAACGGCAGGATGACACTCAAAACCACTTGGCTGGCGTTTAGAGTCTTGTTCAATCCCTCCTTGCCGACAGCAGCTGCAATGATTATGCTAGGGATGATACTGATAGACCGCGTGACCAGTCGCCGGAGCCAAGGTCTGATACTCCAGTTCAGCATTCCCTCGCTGACCATTTGTCCAGCCATGGTACAGACGATTCCGGCGGAGATACCTGAGAGGAGCAGGGCCAATGCGAAGATCAGACCTGCAGCCGGGGCAATGGAGCTAGAGAGAAGATCGTAAATGCCAAAGAGGTCTGCTTCATCAGCTCCCGAAGTGCCGTACAAGGAAGCACCAGCAACGATGAGAATGGCGCTGTTGACGAACAGGGCAAATGTAAAGAGGGACAACGTAAGCTCAATGACGGAGTACTTCAGACATCCCCGAATGGCTTGGATTGACGGCCTGTATTCCACTTCTCCGTTGGTGCTTCCAAGGCAGACGGAGGGATCGACATAGCCTTGGGTAACATCGAATTCCTTCAGTCGCGATTGGACAACTCCGCTGCCAAGAAACATGGAGTGAGGCATCACCGTAGCACCGAGGATACCACAGCTTTGATACAGACTGTTAGATAGGAAGTTAGTAAGCGCAATGTCTCGGTCATTTACGAAGCGGGCCACTCACCCATTGGACTGCACGATGGCAGACGAAGGCAAGTAGCCCCGGAAAACAGCTCCGACCGACTGTTCTTTAATGAGAGCGAGTTGAATGCAAAAGCAAATCACCACTCCCAGGACCAACAGCATGACAAAGAACTCGAACAGACGCAGACCCCACATGGCGCCATTCGGTCTATAGAATATCAAGATGAAGAGAACATCGGCTAGTGTGATTGCGCATCCCGCCACCAGAGGGATATTCAGGAGAAGGTTGAGCGAGATGGCAGATCCGACAACCTAGGAAACCAGGTTAGCACCAGCATCCGAAAGCAAAAGGGGGGATATTAGCTGCTTACTTCTGCGATATCGGTTGCCACGATGGCGGCCTCCGCAAAAACGTACAGGATGTAGGTCAACCACTTGGGTAGGTGCTCCCTGCAGTTTTCCGCCAGGTTGAGCCCGGTCACAGTGCCGAGCTTAATACACAGCGACTGTAGAAAGATTGCAAAAAGATTGGACACTAGGACGATGAAGAGCAAAGCATAGCGAAACTCCGCGCCTGCAGAGACATCGGTGGAGTAGTTTCCCGGATCAATGTAAGCTACCGCGATCAAGAATCCCGGGCCCACGAAGCGACCAAACTTCTTGATACTTTGAGCGAGACGGAGAAAGAAAGAAAAGGTTGATGTGTTGAAAGGACGGCGAGGTGATTCGCTGCTCGTCCTGGGTGATTGGTCCCCAGGAGCGGCAGCGATCACTTCGCCGGGTGTCTTCTTCTCCATCTCGGGCTCGTTTCCATCTAGACTATTTGGTCTATGATCCATCGCTGCAATTCCTTCACCTGCAGCTCCCCCCATACCGCCTGCGTGTCTCCGATGCACCTTCGAGTTCGCAATGCCGTTGAAATCGCTTCGAGTGGTAACGTCGGCATTCAGCGCCGGCGGATTCTGGTTCCATCCCGGGTGCTCGAGGGTGTCATCGGTGCGCGAAGGACAATTCATGGCGGACTGAGAAGCTCTTCAGTGACACGATTTGGAGATATTAGCAATTGCAGCTATTCCGATAACCACGAGGTCGGAGTATTTAGGCAACGCCACGTTCGGGACGTCAGTCTAGGATTCAAGGACCCTGCGGGGAAGCCTGCCCGAAACTGCCCGATTGCGGTAGTCGCTGTAGACACGTCCACTGCGGAACAGGGCAGAGGGTCGGAAGAAATAGATAGATCGACTGCTAAGTGTTCAAATGCAGTTGTTACGATGGAAGATGGGTCCAGAAGATAAAATCAGTAACATTCACTCCAGTCGGAAGCAGGAGAGGGAAGAGGAGGGGGAGATTCAGAATTTTGGTAGCATGACGGCATGCGGTTCTGAGGCTGTTCGCGGTGAAGTGTGGCCAACTGGGCCGCCCAGACCGACTAAAAACATCAATTCTAGGCAACATTGTGTTTCTCGTGGATTCGGTGACACATTGAATTTCAGCGAGGAAAAACGGAGTCTGCATAGATACCCCATGGGCACCGGAAGGAAAGGGTTTAATGGACCCAGAAGATAGACACATTGATAGATGGTAGGAGGTGGTTTGGCAGCCAAGTCATAGAATCCTGAAGTCCCGTGATACGCCTTGTCCTCCCCTTGCTGCAGCTGATCGATCTGCTTGGCCTTTGTCTTCCCTCTGATTCGACCACTTCCACGGGATCTAAGCGCCTAAATTGGCGTCTTCGTAGTACATCAACGGCATGATTTCCTTGATAGTGGGCAGGTTGTACTGTAGAATTTACACATAGGGGCCGAAATCTGGGACCGCGAGATTCTGGTGCTTCCGTGCGGCTGCTGCCGCGTCGGCAATCAATGGGTCCAAGATCTTTGTTTCGATATCGGACCATTTTTTGCGAATGGATCCGGACCGTTGTAGCTTCGAGGTAACATCGTGGAAAGCACCATTCCAAATCACTTTAATCGCGCAACAGGTTTTGATGGATTCGCCAACCCTTGAGCCAAGTGTCTAGATCCTATGCCCGAATGGCTTCAGGGGTTTCTTCCCAGCGCTATGCTACCAAATTCACAAGATAGGCGACAAAATACCTCGGTCAGCATGTTTGACTGGTCTCCGAACGATTTCTTGGTATACCAATTGCGGGTCAGAGAACGCGTAATGGCAATCAGAAAAAGACGCACTTTCGAAGACAAAACTCCAGTGGTGATCCTCTCAAAGGCTATTTATTGCTAGAGCTCCCCCAATTGATGTCCATCGCACGGCAACTATTACTCTATGCAAGATGGCTGGATGGACAGTCATGGCTTTTTTAAGTTATTCTTTCGATATATTAGGTACTTTGAAAACTAAGCAAGATGCATGCTAGTCCCCAGATCAACAGCATAGTTGGCATTGAGGAACCCACCTGAGTTCTGCATCCACAACCTACATCGAGTGGAATATGCTTCTATAACCAGCTGTTGTATTGGTAGGTCTAAAGGGAAGACGGTCCATGCTGGATGTTTGTGTCCATTGTACTAGTCAACCGATGTAGCCCTTGTGGCCACTGAAGTCAGATATTCAATCTGCGTTCGGCTTTGACCCTCTAGGTATTGGTATATCAGAGTTGACTGCCCACACAGGTCTCCCAGCAATACCCAGGGCATCCTTCCAAGGGTTTCTCTAGATATTAATCCCTGCTGTAGGTTAACGTGAGCAATTAGTATCTTAAAATAGGACAAGACCGTCTGTCAGTGCTTGGAAGTTTAAACGGCTATCAGACGACTCGGATCGAGAGTCCTGTAGACATTGTGTAGCATCAAGCAAATGGTCAGTAACAATGTATGTCCTACACTTCTCACAGACTTCAGATGGCTTCTTGAATATCCTGGTCATTTTCCTGTATGGGAGTAATCACTTGATTCGAATCTAATTTATTGTGAGATGGGAATTGTTGGTTTACTCCAGGAGGTTGCTTTTCAGCTATCGCAAGTCGCACAAATTGTTTCAAATCTTCCGAGCGATACCCCTTTTCTCATGTTGCTGATCTTAGACTTGAGAAACGGTCTTGACTCCCGAAAATCTGTGACAGAGGCCTTTAAATGGCTACCTAGAGCAGTGAGGAGGTCGTCTTCTATTTCCTAAATCGAGTAGGTTATAGGGGCAATGTGCACCCCTTGCCTGCTGTTCACATCGTTTGATATCGGCCAGAGCAGTAGAGGCTTCCATAATGATTAGCGTGGGGATGCAAAAGCAAAGAGAGCAATAAGTTATTTATCAAGCAAATACTGGTGAGAGCAGAGCGTAAGTATATACAGAGAGAGCATAGTGGTAGTGGTCTAGACTGGAAGTAACTACATCATGCGCCGGGCTAGTCCCGATTTGGCATGCCAACAGATCAGATCAAGAGCCCATCGTGTTGACATCCAACAGTGGATACGACTATGAGGAAAAGAAGAGGAACAGAAACCCACATCAGCTATTACTGATCACAATGATGACGGCATTATATTTGAACAAATATACTACTCTGTCCATATTCCTGGTTATCCAATGACATTATATATGACCTCTCACCCACTCCGACCCAAGCAGATTGTGATGGTCCATTCAATAGCCGGTTCCATGCCGGCTATTCCTCCACTATGACATCGACCCCAATATCCATCGCGACGGGCCCCAGCTCACTATGACGGGTGATCGGATATGCTTTCTGGACGGGCTGGACACGGAGGATGATGGAAGTGATATGATTGCCCGATCAATTAACTGCCCGATTGATAGATAGACGATCATGACGGGGTGATGCACTCTCCGGCGCGACCGGAGGCGCGGTTGCCCCCAGCAACCTCCCTGCCCGCACAGTGTTTACACCCTCCGCTTCACTGCGGTGCACCCATCTCCAGCCGTTTGGCAACGGCGTTGGCAGACTAGGCTATGCAGTGGGGGAATGCTTACGGCTCCTGCCCGTCTTAGACCTTCGAAGGGCTTCAAATTCCCGGTCTACCCACCTGAGGTCGACTCTCTGGTGTTTGCTATTGCTGCTGTGTGTCTCCTGTTCCTTCGCACCGGTGTCTTCTCTTCTCTTCCTTAGTTACCTTGTTACCTTTTTTTTTTGTCTGACCTCATTTCCTTCTCCTAATTGACATTCATCAATGTCGTCGGTATTTTACTATTACACGTCCTTGTTATCCTGCTTTGCATAGAATTTTCCGCTACGTTCGTATCCTTCGCTGGTGTTCGATCTATCTTTACGCGGGAGCACCCTTTCACCGTGAGTCGCCTGCGCCTACCCGTTCCATAACCTTCATCCTGTGATGGCTGTTCTCATCTGTTAACACAGCCTGTGGCTTCCTAATCAGTTTCGGGCCAAAGGCGATAAGACATGGCTCCCAGTATACAACCCCCGAGCATCTTTGACGATTCCTCCCGTGGATCTACCAAACCATCCGTCCTGCGAGCTATCTGGTCATCCAAGGCCCACAAACGGACTTCATCTGCAGATGATGTCCTCGCCCCGAGAGTCGTTGAAACAGGCCAGCCTAGTGGCAGCCCATATGCGCCCCCAGTCGATGGACCTTACCACCCTGCGGAACAGCCACTGGCAGAAATAGCCCCGAACCGGGATTCAGCAGACGTTAGTTCAACCCAGAGATCACCTGGAAAGCAAGGGAAACACACTCTACACAAAAAGACAAAAAGCGCCGTCTCACTGAAATCTCTCAAGAGCTATATGGAACGCAAGGACAAGTCGGATGAGACGCCAGATGACGAAGCACCGAACTTGAAGCCAAAGAAAGCAAAGTCGGCCAACAGTCTCACGGCTATCCTGAAACGATCCCAACGCGGAAGAAAGGGAGAAAACTCGAAGAGCGCCCGGGACAAAGAAAACCGCAGCCCATCGGACCCTGTCGATAGCATGCCCTCTCCAATGTGGGGCCACTACCCAACACCGCCGTACTACAACCAGCCTGAGGTTTCCAGTTCCCAGCACAAGCGTAGGACTTTACAGGAAGAGGTTTCCCTCTACACCCCTAGGGAGTATGGTCCCACTCTTCAGCGAAACTTCTATGACTACGATGGACCCTCTCTCAGAGCACGCGGGGATCCCAAGCCACGCCCAAAATCGGACTACCTCGCGGGCAATCGCAAGGTGAAAGAATTAATGGATCCTATAGATGGCATGACGGCGAACCAGCTGGCTCCGGGTAACCAACCAGAACCCGCCTCGCCCAAGAAACATGGGAGGCCCAGAGCACTCTCACGCCCGGAATACCATCCCCCAGTAGAACCCAGACCCGAGGCAAGCCCGAAACGACTCTCTCGCGTACAAGCGGCAATCTCAGCATTCAATGCAAAAGAGCAGGAGGCTGAACTGCAGAAACGGTTGACCGGCAAGGAGCTTGAGAGCGAGTTCGAAAAGTTACTGGTAAGTACATCTTGAACTAGCCTTGTTTTTTGGCATCAAGAGCCTAGACTAATAATGAGACAGGATGCTAGAAATATACCTCATAATATGCGAGACAAGATGAGGTCTTTGGACACCAACATAAAGGCAGATTTCATCATGAAGGATCGAGCTGAAAATGCTACGCCGCATAGCGCTGGTGCTAGTGGTACAGATAGTACCGGTCGTCGCGGGCGCAAGAAGGAGCCAAAGGAGGACCGCCATGGCCAAGACAGCAAAGGATCTCGCTCGCGATCCCGCAGTCGCGGCTTCTCATTCTCCAAAGGCAGCTCTTCGCCCAAGAAGCGCCCCGATAGCGGAAGTTTCTATAGACGTCCAAAGTCGGCAGACTATTCGCAGCCCACAGGATTCTCCAGGCTCGGTACCCCGTCAGCTTCCACTACCTCACTTTCTGCCACAGCTTGTGATACTGCAGCTGATCCGTCGGACTTTGTGCATTATCTGAGAGAAATTCAGAAGCCGGAAATGGTTGAGGTTGGGAAGATGCACAAGCTTCGCATCCTCCTCCGGAATGAAACTGTCAGCTGGGTTGACACGTTCATTGCGGACGGTGGGATGGATGAGGTGGTGCAACTGCTCTACAGGATCATGAAGGTTGAATGGAGGTGAGTTTAACGTATTCGCTGATTGGTAGACCGGGGGCTCATAACTTGAATAGGGAAGAGCATGAAGATACCTTGCTCCACGAAACATTGTTATGCTTAAAAGCTCTTTGCACGACATCCATCGCTCTGCAGCATCTCACCAACATCGAGGGCGAGCTGTTCCCCGCATTGCTGCGAATGCTATTTGACGAAGAGAAGAAGGGCCCAAGCGAGTACACCACCCGTGGGATCATCATCAATCTCCTGTTTACTCAGCTCTCTGCTGTATCGTCCGACGAGATGGCAGCCAGCCGGGCTTCACGCATCTTATCCTACCTACGCGACCCGTCTCCCCCGGAGGAGAGTCAGCCTCTGAGCTTCATCGCGAATATATATCAGTCACGCCCCTACCGAGTCTGGTGCAAGGAGGTTACCAATGTGACCAAGGAAGTTTTCTGGATCTTCCTGCATCATCTCAACGTGATCCCGATCTTGAAAGACGATAAGTCGTGTATGAGCTACCGGCAGCGTCATTTCCCTGCCCCTAGGCCTCCAGTTCCCGCCGCTCCGTATGTTGGTGGCGTGGAATGGGATGCGACTAACTACCTGGCTGCGCACCTGGACCTCATGAATGGCCTGGTGGCGTCATTGCCAACGAGTGAAGAACGTAACCAGCTCCGAGATGAGTTCCGAGCGTCGGGATTCGAGAAAGTCATGGGCGGCAGTTTGCGAACATGCAAGGAGAAGTTTTATTCCTCTGTGCACGATTGCCTGAAGACATGGGTTGCTGCAGCTGTAGATGACGGGTGGCCATACACTTCTGTCCGCGAGGGCCCTCCTCGGCCGGAGCCTGGATCGCCGAGCAAGTCCCCTATCAAGGCAGCAGCTGGAAGCCCCAGAAAGGGTGTCTTGGACGAACAGCCTCCCAAGCTGGAACTTGCGCTGGATGTCCCTGCTAGCCGTGGCGGGGCCCAAGGCAACAGTGGCCTTGGGAATTGGCTTTAGACGTCAGTCTATGGCTGCGCAGACCGGTCACGTCTCTACTTGGTTGGCGACGTTGACCCGGCATTATGACGGCTTTTACTGTTTTTGACTTGTTGTTGTTACCTGATCTGTTTGTTATTCATCATTGTGACTTTGGAGAATGGGGATTGGACGGCGTTGGCATTTCTGCGGTGTTTTGGGTGCATCTCACCGTCACTTGACGGCCACGGCGAAACGACTCATGACGGCATAGGGCCACAGACCTGACGATATTGACGTTCTTTGATCGCATGTCAGGCCGATCATTCTTTTTCTTGGACAGATGCGTTATAGCAGGCACGACATGACCGATGTGGATTATGCTTAGTTCTACTGTTGTCAACATGAGCGGCTTAAGCTTCGCTGTCATTATATTTTCCAATCATAAGATAGTTGTACAGGATAGGATACTATACAGTGTAGATTGAACGGAGTGGTCTAGTCTAATGAAATACCGCTGTAAACCTCCAGCACCTGGCCTGACCTGATTATTGCGCACCCGACTCATCCTCCGACCTCTTCACAGGACGAGGCGGCGGCGGCGTCGAAAAAGCACCCTTGACACCCGCAAAGAAGGTCCGTCGAATCTAACCACAGTCAACAAACTGTCTCCATTATATCCAACAGACAAAATAAAGATTACTCACCTCATCAAACGGACTCCCACGCTCATCCCACTCCATAAACAGCAACGCATACACCAGAACAACTAAATTCCATCATTATAAACGTTAGCCTTCCGCCAACCTCGCAAATTTCACGTCACACGTATTATTTGCCGCCATCGCCAAGCCAAATCAATACAGACGGGGAATAGATCATATGGACATACACCCGATAACCACCCACTGCGTAATCTTCGTCGCCTTAACCCACTTCGGCCGAGCGTATTTCAGGGCCGCCCGACGACGATACTTCCGTTCTAGCCGGAACTGATGCTTCGGGGAGAGCTTCGACATGTCCGGTGGCCATTGACGTTTCGGTTTGTAGGGACTGTAGTATTCGCCTTCTTCGGGGTCGTATGTGTTCGGGTTGTTGTTGGTGCTGAGGCGGAAGGGGGAGGAGAGGGTATGGGGGGTTTGGGATAAAGGGCGGGTCTGCTGCTGTTTGGGGGTTTTGATTGTTAGATTATGTTATATTTTGGATGGTTGGTTGGTTGAGTGATTGGAGGCGTACCTGTTGTATTTGGGTGTGGTGAAGGTGTGGGAGGGTGCGGGTAGCTGCTGCTGCTGCTGCTGCTTGTGGTGTTGGGAATAGGGGCTTTGATAGTGTGAGCGCGGCGAGGCGCCGCGGGAAGAGGAGGGAGGAAGTCATTGCCGGTGTGAGGCAGGGGTGGATTGAGGTTGATGGTGATACTATAGAGGGTCGGTCAATGGATGGGATGATCTTGAATTGCGGAGGAAAAGTTGTCGCCGGGCGGGTGGGATTCCGCCCGCGGAGAGACTAGCCTGATGGCGTAGGTTGGGTTCCGCTCGGTGGTGATTGGTTTGTGTGGTGGATTATCATTGTTTTAACTGACTTGTTACTATTTTCTCCTACGTATTGGGATATTCTTCCTAGGTTGGTATATAATTCAATATTGTCTGTTACACCGTTTGTTTCATTGCATATAGTGTGGTAGAGTGTGATCGTTGAGGATGTAAGGATGAGTTTAAACTTGATATATATTTCGAAACAAAGCAATTACATAGGCATGTGACACTAGTTAGTATGCATCAAGATCACTAATCACTAGTACAGGACACCACCAGACCATAATACTATCTGCCTTCATCTTTGGTCCTGCTGATCGCATGACGTACCACTATGCATCCACCCCCCAAAAGCAGCACATGCAACTCATTACCCAGCAGCCATTCTAGTGCATTGCTTTTTCACATGAAACCGCTGTCTCGTGGACCGACATCCCGTGACCCGCCTCCGCGGAACAACAATGATGCGCATAAGCCTCGGTTCATTGAAGCAGAGCTGAGCAGCCCCAGCCGGTTTGATTGCAACTGACTGGCTTTCTCCACGTTGCCCCAGATTCTTATAAGATCAGGGGTTCAGTTCTTCGTATCTTCAGTCTCTTCAAAACCTTTTTTCTCTTTTCCTTTGGAGATACCTCTAGCGCATCTCATTTTTCTATATTCGAATTCCCGTTGACGTCATCATGTCGTCTGGTATGTCTACAGTAGCCTCTATCTGTCTCGATAAGGGTCCTAAACTAACGATTATGCGTTACTAGCCCAGCAACGTCTGTCCCAGGTGGCCTCCCACTTCGGCCCTGGTGGCAAGAAGGGAGTCTCCGCCATCACGGAGAAGCACCCCGATGATATCGTCGTGACCTGCGCTCTGCGTACGGCTCTTACAAAGGGTGGAAAAGGTGGTTTCAAGGACACCGCTGCCGCTGACTTGCTGGCCGGTGTCTTCAAGGGGGTCATCGACCGCAGCGGCATCGACCCCAGCCAGGTCAACGACATCGCTGTCGGCTCCGTCCTTGCCCCGGGTGGTGGTGCGACGGAATTCCGTGCTGCCGCCCTGGTGGCGGGCTTCCCCGAGTCTACTGCTGTCAAGAGTTTGAACCGTCAGTGCTCTAGCGGTCTTCAGGCGATCGTGGATATTGCCAATGCCGTGAAATCGGGCATGATCGATGTTGGTATTGGTGCTGGTGTCGAGAGCATGTCCTCTCAATACGGGTAAGTTCTGCCCCCTCACCTCAACCCTCTGTGATGTGTAAGCTAACGAGCATCAGCCCCGGTGCCGTGACCGAGTTCTCCGAGCTTCTCGAGGCTCACCCCGAGTCGGCCAACTGCAAGGTTCCCATGGGTGTTCTGTCCGAGCAGATGGCCAAGGACCGCAACGTCACCCGTGCAGCCCAGGACTCTTTCGCTGCCGCCTCATACCAGAAGGCCGTCAAGGCCCAGAAAGCCGGTCTGTTCAATGAGGAGATCATCCCTCTGGAGGTCAAGTGGACGGATCCCAAGTCCGGTGAAGAGAAGACTATCACCGTCAAGGCCGACGATGGCATCCGCGACGGCATCACCCCCGAGTCTCTGGGCAAGATCCGGCCTGCATTCGCCAAGGACGGATCCATCCACGCCGGAAACGCCTCCCAGATCTCCGACGGTGCTGCCGCCGTGCTGCTGATGAAGCGCTCCACGGCCGAGCGCCTGGGACAGAAGATCATCGGCAAGTACGTCGCTGCTAGCGTCGTCGGTGTTAAGCCCCTGCTCATGGGTATCGGCCCGTGGAAGGCCATCCCCGTGGCCTTGGAGAAGGCCGGCATCACCAAGGACGACGTGGACATCTACGAGATCAACGAGGCGTTCGCCTCGCAGTGCGTCTGGTGCATCAACGAGCTGGGTCTGCCGCAGGAGAAGATCAACCCCAAGGGTGGTGCAATTGCCTTCGGACACCCGCTCGGCTGCACGGGCTCGCGCCAGATCAGCACGCTGCTGACGGAGCTGAAGCGGACGAACAAGAAGATCGGCGTCAGCAGCATGTGCGTGGGCACAGGTATGGGTATGGCGGCCGTTTGGGTTGCGGAGTAAATCAAAAAGGCTGTGTGTAACTTACTTAGATTGATGATTTTGTTGTGTCTCCTAGCGATTTGTATCTAATAATACGTTATACTTCAAGCTGGTCTTCACACCACTATACCAACCATACTGTATACAAATTGAACCTACCAACCACTCCACTACTTATCTATACAGTAGAGTAGAAGAGTAGACCTAAATCTTCCCCCTAAACCTCCCAAACGCCTCAAAGACATTCATCCCTCCCTCCACCGCCTCCTTAACCTTATCATCCATGCCCACCAACTTCGGCATCACCTCGAGGACCCGATCCAGCAACTCCCGAGGTATAGCCACCACTCCTCCTTCCTCGTAATCGCAGAAGATGATATCTCCCTGTATACCCATTCACCATTAGCCAATACAAACACCCTCAAACCCTAAACCCCCAACAGGGGAAAAATGACTTACCTCTCGTACAATCACCCCAGAAACACAAACCTCCCCACCCATCTCCCCGGGCTTCGCCTCCGCCCCACTCCCCACCGTCGACCCTCCCCTCGCCCAGATCCCCAGCCCAGAGGCCTTGAGCTCCGCGCGATCGCGCACCCTCCCGTCCACTACCACGCCAAGCACACCCCGGACTTTCATCCGCAGGGCCATGATGCCCCCGACGACGGCGCAGTGCTGGTCTCCCGGTTGGGAGATTACGAGGATGGTGGAGGGGGTGGTCAGGTCGGACCAGTGCGTTGAGGGGGGGATTGCCTTTGATGTTGGAGGAGAGGGGGTGGGGGCGGATTTGGGGATGAATTGGAGGGTGCTGGCTGGGGCGATTAGTTTGGAGGGTGTGGTGGAGGATGGATCTTGGGTGGGTGGGTAGTAGGGTGCTTTTTTGATGTTAGTAGGTAGGTAGGTAGGTAGGTGGTGATGATGGGTAGGGAGGAATTGGGATTGGGGAGAGGGGGATGTACTTAGGTCTGCGATGTAGCCTGCTCGGGGTGGGGTGTTGGGAGGGACGGGTTGGAGTTTGAGGAGGGCGTCGGAGACCTGATGTTATTATTTTATTAGTTGGATGGATGTTTTTGATGGGTAGGTGGGTGAAGGGGAGGGAGGGGATGGGAGGGATGTACATCACAGGCGGAGTAGTTGTATAAGAGGGAGATCTTTTCTTCGAGGGTTGACATGATTATTGGATTGAATTGAAGTGTGTAGATACACTGAGTTGCTACTTATGCGGAGTAAGTAGTAGATTGATATATGGAGGGGTATAAGGATAGTGAATCTGAATCCGATCAGATAAGCTGCAAAGAATTCTTCCTGCATAACCGAGGATCAATTGCATTGACATCATGTGTCGGCATCCAGATGTCTTAAATAGGCACAACATCCTACTTTGTAATAGTCACACAAAATAGATAGTAATGATACTTTCTATCCATTCGACCGATCGGATCTACATGCATCCCGTCTGTTAAACTCCGCTCCTCTATTCCCTATTCCCCATTCATCCGACAACAGCTATTCACTACTTAATACTAACAGTATAGATACAATGTGCCATCCATCTATCTCCCTCCCGGACCGTCCCTGACAAATGTCACCGCCACTCCCGAACATGGATAGTAAATGTGGGGGGGGAGGCCCGATTGAACCCTCGGACCCAATCGAGTCAGTCCCATCCAATGAGATAGTTATCAATAAGTAACTTGTTTAGTAGTTTTAGTTAGTTCCTGGGGTACCTACTGAAAACTCCCCTCCCCCCTCTTCATCCGCAAAACGCCGGCGGATCTCCGTAGAATTTCATGACAGCTAGATAACCTAACGTGGCCACATTTACTACTACCATCTTTATATCTCCGAAACACATTATCCATACATACTAGTCCTCAATATACAAACATCCAAAATGACATCAAATACCTATTCCTACACCCCCGACCAACTCACCCTCTACCTCGAGCGGATCCACTACGGTTCCAATGAATCCGCCACCAGCAGCAGACTACAACAAGCACAACAAGCCGTGAAAACCGATCCCCTGGGTACTCTATACGAGATCCAACGACGACATCTAGTATCCATTCCCTGGGGAAATTCAGCCCTGCATTACTCTAACCACCGGACCATTGATATCCGCCCCGCATGCGTGTTCGAAAAGTTAGTCACGCGTAGGCTGGATGGCTACTGCATGGAGAACAATACCCTGCTGTATGGGGTGTTGAAGTCTCTAGGGTATGCGGTTTATGCGACGGGTGGGAGGGTGTGTTTGGCTGCGACGGGGCAGGCGAAGGAGGGGTTGGAGAGGTTGTATACGGGGATGTATGTTTTTGTTTTCCTATTTCTTATCTATACTAGAAGTATTTTCTATGGGGATGGTGGTATAGATATACTAATGATGGTATAGGTCGCATATGGTGCTGATTGTGCTGATTGAGGGGGAAAAGTATGCGGTATGCTTATCCTAGGATCTTAAGTATCTTGGTGACTACAAGCTAATGGCTGTGCAGGTTGACGTCGGATTCGGGGGTAATGGGCCTACCCGGCCCCTACCGCTGAAAGAAGATGTCGTTTTGGTCTGCATGGCCCCGACGGAGATGCGTCTCGTTCATGAGCCCCTGCCTGAATATGCGGACCAGACGCAGAAGGTCTGGATCTACCAGATCAGGTATACGCCTGACAGCAGGTGGATTCCCATGTACTCATTCCTGGGGACCGAGTTCCTGCCGCAGGATTTCGAGATCATGAATTATGCGACGAGTCAGCGGCCCACCAGCTGGTTCACGCAGTCGCTGGTTTGTACGAGGTTCATCATGGATGAGGCAGCGAGTGAGGTGCAGGGGATGTATTTTCTCGTTGGGCGGGAGGTGAAAAAGAGACAGTTTGGAAAGACGGAGGTTGTAGAGACGCTGGAAAGGGAAGCCGATCGCGTCAAAGCCCTGGAACAGTGGTTTGATATGCACCTCCGCGATTATGAAGTCGAGGCTATCCGCGGTTTTGTATCTGAGATCAAATAGATATAGACGTGTGAAACAAAGGCTTAGACAAATTCTACCTGGCAGTGTACCCAGCCGGCCAGATAATTCTTATAGTATGATACAAACAATCTTTCATTGCGCGGATATTTCTCTCGGAAGTAATGCGGCCGAATAAATAAGGAACAGGTGGGAATAAGGACATGACGTGTGACAACCCATGCTGTCTAGAAAATCCGTTTCTCGATCTGCCACAGCTTAGTATCTTGCTTCGCTCACTGCTGCTGATGGTGCTGGTTCGTACCTTCCAGGGGTTGCTGAGCTCGAATCCCTTGGGAGCTTCATGGTTGCTCGATTGGCCTCGTTTCGTGCCCGTGATTCTCAGGTCTCTCTCCATCACTGGTAGGCGGGGGGAGTCGATGGTTAGTTCGCTGCTTCTGCTTCAAGATTGAAATAGGGGATTGCCAATTGGATGTTGCACGACGTCAAATCGAGGTTATCACATACTTTGCTGTAAAAGAGTTAGTACGTCTGATCCCGGTCGCATCGGGTAACTGGCAGGTTCACTTACTCTATCCCACTTGTCCTTGTTCCACCGCGGCATCTTGCCCTCGTTGTCCCATTTCCGGACCGCCCACAAGCCGGCACCGCCGACAGTGAACGACTGTGTCACGCATTGGTCAGTACCCGCCAAGTCGAAAACAATTGAGGGGAGGAAACGGTCGCTGGACGTACTCCGATGATGATACCAAAGGGAAGAAGAGCCTCAAAGGGAACACCCATGATGACAATAGAAGTCGAGAAGACCGGAAAAGAGCAATGCACAAGGCTCAATTGGAGTAGCAGCGAGGGGAAAGGTGAAGCTGGTGTGGCCGCGGGAATCCGCCGTTCGTCGACGAGGTCTGGAGGTTGGCCCAAAGCGGTTTAGGCGGGACGGCTGAGTCAGCACGACCGTCAACCTCACGGGCAGGAGAAGGGGCAAAGAGGCCGCCGACGATTGCGTTGATTGCGCAAGTGGACTTGAGACGGCGTTTCCCTGGCTGTTACACGCGTCTACTTCTGCTTGATCCGGAGTCTCTGCTCTGTTTGTGGGCACGGTACGTTTTCCGCCCTGTCGCTACACGTGTTGCTTGCCATTGTCCGCTTCCCGCTGTTGCTACCTACTCCTCACTGACCTTGCTGGGAAAGCATGCGCTTGCTGTAGGGAATCGAGCTTTCTATCTTGTGCGGATCTCTGTTTACAGTGCGTGGTCTTCAGAGCTGTGGCGCCCCAGGCAATTCGTTCTATGCTTCCCGATGCCCGTTTCACGCGCGGCACCAGATGATCGTCTACTTTCGCGGGGAGCCTGAATAGCCTCAACACCTAGGCTTGCCTTGTATCTCAAATCCCCGAATAATTAACTGGCGACTATTGTGACAGCCCTGGCGACCACCGTGACATACACTATGCCGGCTATTGTACCGCTGGCCAACGACGACCCCGGGTCGAAGACCCCGGCCGATATAGTGGACAGTGACCAGGATGCGGAAGGGGAGGAGGAAACGGACCTGTATCAGATGGATCAGCAGCTTCAGGACGCCGCGCACCGCGCTTTCACCGGAGAGGCTGCGGACGATACTGCGACTGGAGACCTTGGGGAGGATCAGGACGCAGAAGGGGAGCCGGATAATGAGATGAGTCTGGTCGGAGATCAGAACGATACCGAGCCGGTTGGCGCAGTCAAAGTGCCTCAGAATGGCCAGTCTGCCGACGATGACGATGCGGCGTCGGAGGCCGCTGATGCGGAGGCAGATCCGGCATTCGAAAACCAGAGTGACAGTGACCAGGAGGCGCACCGTTCTTCATCGAGCAGTCATGAGTCGGATGAAGAGTGGGAGGGCGAAAGCAATGACCATGAGGATGCGGAGGCGGAGACCACGGTCCGCGGAAACTGCATGTGAGTGGGGACCTGGCCCATGCCTTGTTCGACAATATACCCATGGAAACCCGGCTAACTGGTTGGACAGATTTTGTGGGCAAGATGAAGATAATGATCCGAGTGAGGAGTTTGAGGAATATTTGACATGCGCTGTCTGCGGCGATCATTGTACGTTGGGTTGCGGCCCCATCCAAACTATAATTTCCCCGGATATTGGGCGATCATTACTGACTCGGCAACCCGGCAGCTCATCGGCAGTGTGCCCGCGAGCAAAACGCACTAGGCGATGCAGAAGGTACGTTGCTTTTTGAAATAAATTGCCTCTAGAGTGTCCGAGAGTGTCCTCGTGCTGACCCGTCTAGATGCGAACCCGTGGAGGTGCCCGACGTGCGTGCGCGAGAAGTTGAAGCCTAGTGCGGAAGATGGCGCGGCGCCGCAACGGAAAAACAGACAGAAAAACATGCGCAAGGAGCTCCTGCCGGCTCATACGGGTGAAGACGGCTCCGATTTCCATTCAATTTTCAACACAGTCACTGTCAACGAAGAACTATTGAATAGCTCTCGGTCGCTGCGAAAGAGAAAGACCATGTCACTCTCTGCTGAGATCGAGGAGCATGCGCCGGTGCTTCGCAAACGGCAACGCCAGACGCCGTTGCGCTACGATCGTGCGGACTCTCGTGAACAGATGGCTGAGACAGCTGATGGCATGTCCCCAGTACGGACTCGTTCGCGACGTACGCGTAGGAACGAGCAAGAGCACTGTCGCGTGGTGTTGAAACAATTTGAGCGTCTTGTGATGGCGTTTCGCCTCAACGAGTCCAAGCTGTCTAAAATTCTCAATTCTCGCAGCAGGTCACAGATGAGAAGCAGAAGGACCCCAAAGCCACCACCCGTCGCTCACGAGCCTCATACTCATTTTGCACCGATTACGCCCGCCTCTTATTACACCCCTTTCTATTCATTTAGCGACCGTGAGACGGATGAGTTAAAGGGCAAACCGTATGGGGGCATCCTGACCGAGACGGATGCGGATACCTCCAAGACACTGCCAACTCACCTCGACCGCGAAAGGTTCGAAAAGGCCCGCCAAAAAGCGGAGGAAGAGTGGCAACGACGAGCTCTAGAAGCTGAGAGCACAGGGGAGACTGTACAGCATGCGTCGCAGAAGGTGTCCGGTCCCCCGTCTAGAATCAAATACATCAACTTTGGCGGCTACGAGATTGAGACTTGGTACGCGGCACCATACCCGGAGGAGTACAGTCGCAATCGCATTCTCTACATTTGCGAATTTTGCTTGAAATACATGAACTCAGACTACGTCGCGTGGCGCCACAAGCTTAAATGCCCGGCGAAACACCCTCCGGGCGATGAGATTTATCGTGAAGGGTCCATATCGATCTTCGAAGTTGACGGACGAAAAAACCCTGTTTACTGTCAGAATCTCTGCCTGCTCGCCAAGTTGTTCCTGGGTTCGAAGACACTCTACTATGATGTTGAGCCGTTTCTATTCTATGTCATGACGGAGTTCGATGACTTGGGCTGCCATTTTGTTGGCTACTTCAGCAAAGAGAAGCGGCCTAGCTCGGCTAATAATGTCTCTTGCATTCTCACACTCCCTATTCACCAACGGAAAGGTTATGGAAACCTCCTCATCGACTTCTCGTACTTGCTCACGCGCATTGAAGGCAAGACGGGCTCACCGGAGAAGCCTCTATCGGATATGGGGTTGGTTTCTTATAGGAATTACTGGCGTCTCATTCTATCTTACCAGTTGCGGAGTCAAAGGACGCCGCTTAGTATTACCGAACTATCTGAGCGGACCGGTATGACCGCAGATGACATCGTGTCCGGTCTGGAAGCTTTGCGGGCGCTTGTCAGAGACCCGGTGACAAAGACCTACGCCTTGCGGCTTGACTACCGATATTTCGAGGAGTGCATCGCCAGCTGGGAAAGCAAAGGATATGTCCAGCTTAACCCCGACGCGCTCGTATGGACACCTTACATCATGGGTCGGAGCAACCAATCCCAGTTTGATCGCGCCCCGTTACACGCCGTGGCACCCCGGGAGGGCCTGGAGGATGAAGAAAGCGAGGATGTGAAGGAGTCTGGAAACGAAGAAGAGCGACAGTCTCCAACAGATGTTGGCGAGTCTAAGGAGGATGGCTCTGGTCCTCCGACCACGAATGGGACTGGCGACGTCGACTCCGAACAGCTTCCGATTGAGCCAGCTGGACCTCCTTCTACTGATATGCTCTCTAATGTAAACGGCTTCCGTCATCCGAAGACGGCGTCGGCGACCTCGAGCACACCGGCCGAGGCCAATCCTGCTGGAGACGTCCCTGCCTGGAGATTTGAGATCTATCCTCCAGTGCAAGCACCATCCCATAAGAAGCGTCCTGGCCGACCGTTCGGCAGCAAATCCGCCAAGATGGGCGGGACACCAGTTGCCGTTCGGACCAGTGGCCGCAATACTCCCAGACGAGCATCCGTTTTGACGTCCGTGACTCCTTCCGCAAATCCAGCTAGTGTTCGGCGCGGCCGTAGCGCGAAACTGATGGACTCCCCTGCGGTGGATTCTACGAGCGTAGAGCCGGATGGCATTGAGAACGAGCCGTATGATGATATGGAGAATATACCGGCAGATGGGCCAGATACGACGTCTCAGACCCATGTATCCACCGAACCCGAATTGACCGCAGTTGGCGGTGAGGACGAGGAGCTGCCCACGTCTAATGGTACTACGGATCCGGAGAATGAAGCGGCTGAGACGCCTAATGTCGAGCCTGTAACCCCTTCCAAAGGCAAGGGTGTGGAGGGGAAGCCCAAGCTCACCAAGTCGGTTAGCCGCAAGTCCTACGTGGAGAAGCTTGAGCTTATGGTGCCTGCCGAGGACACCGCTCTATCGGCGCACGAGAACGGCGTTGCAGACAAAGCCGAGCGCAACGGTACCGACGCGGACGGAGACGCTGTGATGGATACCTGACCCTGCGACATTGTCTAGGGTCTGGAGGTTTCGAATGCATTTCCAAAAGATTTTACTATTCACGAGGCATTTCCCGGGGCGTTCTTTGCGAGTTACTATTGTTGGGTGTGGGGTGTTTTTGTTTCTTGACTCTCAAGTCTGCCTTTGACTTTGCGTACGGGGATACACTTCATGACTTCACCTACTTGGCTTTGTCTCTTTCTGCCTCTACACGTCTATTTGTTCTCTCTGCACATTGTACTAAGCAAGGAGTGACGGGGTCATCCGGAGTTTTTGGGTTCGTCTCTTCCTTCGATGCACACTTCAGTACATTTGCCTACTACACCATCGGTTTCCAGGGCTGTTTGTTTCGGATCCTGTGAGACCTTCCATTTCTCCCCCTTTTCTACATTACCATTCGCCCACTACTGCTCCATTTCATGTGAGAGTTTGATTTTACTAAACTTGAACGTCCTTGCCTATTGCTTCATTTTGTGCGTTTCTCATTCAGCCCTACTTTTGTAACGTAGCTTTTCTCCCACCAAGGATGAGATTCAATCTCAGACCAAATCATGATTGTCGCTACCTACCTACCTATTTACCTGCAATTTCTCAAGACTAAGCTAGCTCCAAGTAAACGTGACAAATCCATCCAAAACCGACCTTCATACCATTTGATCATTACTCTAGACAATACCATAAACACCCATTCTACCATTACTACTACCACAAGAATCAATATACAACCCAAACGATTATACTTTTCCTCCCAACGTACATACCCCTACCCAAGAAAAGAAAGAATGCGAGATCCGATCCGATCCCCTCCGATTCCTTCGAAAAACTCAATCTCTAAAACTAACTAGCCACATTCTTACTAAATAGATACTACATAACTAAGTAAGCAAATAATTTGCTTGCAGCGCCACACACACCGCCATCGGAATTAGTAAGTAAGTAGTTGTTGTTTGCCCCGGAATGTGGCTGAAACAGCGAATGTTGCCCGAATGGGGGGCCTGTTCCGCTTTCGGTAGGTGGATAAGATTTCGACCTACCTTGCCGTATGCCGTATGCCGTAAGCAAATGCAACTTACAGTACCAAATACTACTCCGCTCCGCTACTTAGGATATTGCAAGCGGTTGGATGGTACTAGTACCCTCCATAGCATAGATAGGGAGGGAATAGTACAGAATATACTACTACACTCCGGTAATAGTGAGGTGGTAAGTAAGTAAGTAGTAGTAGTAGTACTAATAGAAGTACAAAATCAAGCAAGACTAATTTCCTCCAATGAGAATGAGAAACCGTTATTATTTTTTAATTTTTATTTTTTAATTTTTATTTATATTTTACTACTTATATTTTCCTTCGGAGATAGACCGAGAGGGTATACTAAAAAAAAATGCAAGAAAACTAAAATATCTTGTATAGTATAAATCGAATCGAATAAATAAAAAGAAAAGGTAGGAGAAAGTTGCAAGGCAACTTAGAGTTTGGCCAGGTGGTTCTTGCAGACAACTTGCAGGTTGGATTTGGAGAGGAGGAGGATGAGGAGGAGGAAGAGGAGGAAAAGAGTGGGTACTCAAAGGATGCGTGAGAGTCGGTTTCCAGGAATTCATCCAAGAGGTACTTACAGTATCTAGGAGGAGTCGGTGCAGTAGAAAGTTTATTTTGCATTTACTTTTCTACATAGGGAGTATTGTTTCTTGACTTTTTCGTGTGTATTTTTTTCATTATTATAACCATTATTTTATTTTATTCAATTATTTTCTTCTTCCCTGGTGAGGGGAGTACCTTCCCTGCATGCGTTTCTTTGTGTTTTCCTCTCTTTTTTGGCTCAGGAGGGGTATGTATAGCCCTTGCCTAGGTAGCTACTTAGTAGTTAGAACTGCCCTTCTACCACGGAGTATCTATCATCCTGTAAAAGTGCCCAGTATACGAAATACTCGTCTCCGTCTGAATAAAAGAAAAAATCCTCTTCCCGGTGGCTGAAGGCTTGAAACTTGGCGAGATTGACTCTCTACAAACGCCCCTCTCGGGCGGTGGCGATATACTCAACAGCAAGAAGGAATGTGGCTTTGAGATCGGATTTTGGAATCCTTTTCCGAGGAGGAAATCCCGTTTGGGGATAGCGGTTTATTAATCTACTTACCAGGCCGGAGTACACGGTACTCACAGCGCTGCGAGGGGCGCAATGGACGGTTTTATTAAGACGAGTTGCAGTTGGAGAAAATCTAAATACCGTGACTGTAGAGTCGAACCCGTTCGTTTCTCTCCTGATCAATTGGTAGGTTACAGGTCATCGCGTTGCTGAGTGGGACCACGAAGCAACTCGACGGATAGGACTTTTATCAGTCTCCAGCCAGAATGAACCGAGGTGTGGCTCATGTGCCGAGCAGCTCCGGACTTCCTGCACATCGTACTTAGTCCTGTGCTGATGTGGCGATGCGGCTGGCATGTACAGTACGTCTGGGCTGCATCCATGGTGGTGATAGTGTCTGCTAGGTACAAACCCCCTCCCCCGTGTGGTGCGGTGGAGGTGCTGTTTTGCATCCTGCGATCTTGACTGCATGTCTGATGGAGAATTTGGAATTTCACATGCCCCATTCATGACAATAGCTATTGTGTGGAAAATTGTGTCTGCGATGCGTGATGACGTTCGATTTTGGCTGGGTTGGCGGTGAATGGTGATATGGACTGCTCTGGGGCTATTTTCATCCCTTTCAGGAGGAAGCAGAAGGATATCGACTCTATTGCTCCGGCCGAAAGAAGGGCAATGAAATCACCATATTAATCAATCGATAATAATGGCGAGCCCGTCATCGAATCAATTAGCGGATGAGAGACGTCTTAGCCTGTCTGACCTCTCGGATTCTGAAGATGATCTGTCAGTTAGTCAGGAATTTTTCTCTCCGGACCATCCCCTCCTTCCCGTCGCCGTACTTCGTGCTATCATCTAGCCTTCTTTTTACAAATCACCCGGCCTTTCCTTCTGATGCTTTCTGATCGCTTCGATAAAGGCTTCCCGGGTTCTTTTCGGGGTCTTCGATAGGCCCGAATCCCTGTCCGGGCTCTCCTTAGTCGGACCAGCTGAGGCGTCGATAAATATTACTCGCGATTAGCGAAGGATTAAAATTTCTTTTGTGCACCTTCTGGTGCGGACGATGCAATGGACGAAGGATTATTCTGTGGTCTGAACCCCGGTCGAACCACGATCAAGAGTTCTTGTTCCAGTACGGAGTAGTACTTGATTCATCAATCAAAAACAGGGACGGGCGGGCCTCGGCTGCCCCCCTGGAGCTCCTGAAGAACCGGCGACGAGCGAACCCAGGAAGTTCTAGCCTCCAAGGAACATACCCTGGGTCAGATCTTCTTGAAATTCGGAACCGCCCCCAGACCCCGAATAAGCATAACTGTAGCGTAGTCTAAGCGTTGATGAAAGTCTGGTTCAGACTGGGGATGTTCGGCGGACCGCTGTCAACAATAACCAGGAAAGGTTTCGCTCCCCGTGCTAGCTGGAGTCTGGACAGAAAGGCAACCGCTTGGGTCCGCCGAACACTTCATCGTGCATTTGGTCGGTGTCCCCACCGGATATGTAAATGGTCGAAAGGGGAGAGAGGGTCAACTGTTCGATTGTCGAGAGACAAGAAAAGGAGGGGGGAAAAAGTGCGAAAAAAAAATTAGTTCCCTAGTGTTGGTGATTTTGGCTCTTTTTTTTTCGATTTCCTTTTTTTCTTTCTTTCTTTTTTTCTTTCTTTTCTTAACTCTCTTTTCTAATCGTTTTGCGATTCTTTACCCACCCTGATTTTATCAGTAATTTTTTTTACTCTCCTGATCCCTTTCGCTGCTGTCTTTTTGTGGTAATTTTCACCTACCTTAATGGGTCATGGCGGTAGGGATTCTATTCCTTCAAACTAAGAACCCACAGTGGGCTTTCCACTGCCTGTTCGGTGTGCGTGTGTGTGTATCTGTGTGTCTGTGTGCGTCTGTGTCTATTCGCCCATTCAGCACCCATCAAGCAAGGACAATGTCCATCCCAAAGCTTCATTGTTTTGTTGTCATGACTCGGTAAACTCGTACACCATGCCATCAAAACGTGGCATTATCGGTACACTTGTGGTGTAGGAAATTTCCTTGACTCAAAGGCCCCATGGTAGCATCGCATCCGGAGACTTGCTGACAGGTCTCTCTGTCTATGGCGTCGATCAGGCCCAGTGTGTGTTTGGGTGAGTGTAAGTGTGTGCTCCGTACCCATCCACAAAGTGATGAATGGACTAGAGCTGGTCTTCCTTGGTTTTACTCCCCATTTTGCTGCCCCATTATACTCCGTACTTGTTTTTTTCCTTTTCTTTTCTTTTTCTTTTCTCACCCCTCTCTTCTTTCCCCTCTCATTTCTGCTTACCTCCGTCGTCCACCGGATGGCTTGATTGAGCCGTGCGGCGGACAAAGTAAGTCGCATCAATCGTCCAAAATCCTTATCAACCTTCCTCCGCTGGTATCTTTATTTCCCGTCGGGGATGGATTTCGTTCCTGACTTGCAGGTACCATGTCCAAAGCTCCGCTATCCTGGACGTCTGCCCATCCATATCCTTACAAACTTAGGCATTGGTCTATGCCACCCTTGCATAGGGATTGCCAATCATCGGACGCATGCTTTCTGCTGATCCTTTTTACGTGATAATTTTCTTGATGAACCCCGGACTTCTGTCTGAGGTGATGCCAATCTCTTAGCGATGATAATTGGGCGCGTCGCTGCGCTGAACGAAGAAATACAGTCTCTCTGGCAAAGTCGATCGTCCAGTTGTGCTTGACACTTGGCGAATGGCGAGAATCGCGATTGCGGGCTCCTGGATCCAGTAGCTTCGCAGTTGATGCGGCTAGATGCAGCTGCCACTACCACCTAATAAGATCCAGGATCCGTACGCAATGCAACGCATCTGAGGGGAAGGGTGAGAGGTTCCCCCAGGAACTCCCGAAAATAGAAAGGGTACAAGGGGAAGGGCAAACGAAAAGTCAGGAAAGAGAAAAAAAAAGGGACCAAAAATCAGATGGAAAATCCAAGGGGGAACAGGCGCTGTACGGAGGAAACAAGGAAGCGTAATTCTCAGCCGCGCTTTTACACAGCGTGAACCAGGGACCCTCAGATTATGCATGGAGAGGCTGCGTAGTCCAACCAGATGGTCAACACTATTAAAGTAAGGTTAGCTCTTCATTGCTGAATCTCGCTTAGGCAAGTGAGAGGGAAGAATTGCTCTCGACGATCCCTCTTTTTCAGAAACGACTCATGCATGCTTACTTTCTCAACGCCGCATCAGCCCAGCGATCCGATCTCTGGCGGTCCGGCTCTGCTGAGGGGTGAGCGCCCCGTTCCCCGAGATCGAATCAACCTTCCAGCACAACAGTATGAATGTATGAGCGGGACGCAAGCTCTGCGACCTGCGTGTCAAATTCCAGGCAATGTGATGCATCTCTCGGGCTAGGTCCCAGGAATGCAGCAGCAGCAGCAGAAGCAGCAGCAGAAGCTAGAAGGTTGACTTTCGAGCCCGACCTTTTTCCCCACGCCTGCACGTTGAAAAGAGGCCCACTCCCACCACCTTTGGTTTGACTATTCTCATTGTGATCGATTTCATATTTATTTCTCTGTCTCTCTCTTTCATATTCCTTCTTTTCTTTCTTTTTGCCGTTTTCCGACCAGAGTGGTGGTGGTTGTCCACGATCGTCAGGCTTCCTTTCACTTGCGTCGTCGTCGCTGAGGGCATCCCCATATTGTGAACATCGCGGGGTGAGAGATATCAAGATAAGGGGTGGTCAATCCCGTTGTCGTACAAAAGTCAGTCCAGAGTGAAACAACCGAAGGTCGAAGAGAATAAATCCCCGAGCAAAGGGATTTGGAATTTGGGAATTGGCTGCAGCCTTTGCTGTCGAGGGGAAGAACGAACAGACAGGGGATGGGCCCTCTTGACAGAGACCGGGGTTGGCAGCAGCAGCAAAAGCAGCAACTCCTCGTCGCCGTTCTTCTCGGCCAAACCGCTTCGCCTTGAAACTACCGCCCCAACTCTCTTCCTTTCATACCCCTCTCTTCATCATCTTTGCGGTTCGAATAGACAAGCCTGTGCGCCCTCCCCGAACAAACCCAAGCAAGAACACGCGACTAAAGAACGGGTACAGAATAGGTAGGCAGCCTCCAAAAGCCTCAGTATAATTGCTTGAACAAAGTTAATTTTGATTGACGGATCAGCTCGAAGTCCAACAAAGGGCTCAAAGGATATTGAGTGGGCCTTGGGGCCCTGAACCCCTCCTGCCGTCTTCTCGACCTTGGATCTTTCCTTTGTCTAGAAACACGGTTCTTAAGTGGATGACATAAGAGGTCAGTCAATGGTTCGTCGTGTCCTTGTGATGCTGTGTCGTTATTGATCATGGTAGCGGTGGTGGTGGTGTGAAGGGGAGTGAGGTGATGAAGAGGGATGATGTTACTGCTTGTGATGCTGACTCCTCGGCCGAAACGCAGAGAAAGTTTGATAGGCGGACAAGTAGGAGCCAGCAACTGAAAAAGGGCGACGGACTAAAGGGCCTATCTATCTACGGATGAGCGTCGCTCTTCTCAAACCAGCGCAGAGATAACTGGCTTCTTCCTCAGTATAGTGCTGAAGGAACGACGATACAGTACGAGTCTGACTGGAGACTTGAGAGACGCGCACCGACCAGCATCAAACAACTTCACTGGCGCCAAATCAAGAGCTGGAGACCCTGCGTGGCGCCTAGATACGGGTCTGATCACTTGCATAGCCGGCTCCATCTCCACGCGCACGAGACCACGCCGTTGCGCGTGTGGGTTGGGGAATTGCTCGGGGAAGGGGGTAGTGGCTTGCCGCAAACGCGGTGGATTCTGTGCCTAACTCGAACCAGTGGTCTGTTGTTGGTTCTCAGGCGATCCAGCCTAGAAAGGAGGGAGGTAGACTTTGAGTCTTGCGCAGGTGGCCGCAGTTTGGATGCGAACTTATTGTCATTTCCCCTCCTTCGCATTTTTCCTTCTCGGGACTTGCCAATGTGCGCATCATCTCCATGTCGCTGCGGTTCCTGTCGGATCGTCCAAGGCTGATACAACACCCTAGCCCGCATGCCCAACCGTGGTTGAAGTGACTGGGAACGATACCATTCGACGGCCGAACAGTGGCCGGCGTTGCTCTGCGATTTCCGGTACAGCTCCACTAGGTCATTTGTCTGGTTCACCCTTCAGCTGGCTGTCCTCTTGATTTCCAGTAAATTTTTACCCTAGACTTCCTAATTTTGACACACCCTCGGGCACCACGCATATATTTTCGTGGTTTTTTGTGCGTCAGAGACCTGTCAGAGGCGACTTTGTTGACCCATCGTTCAGCTACCGTCTGATCGCTGGGCGGTGTTCAATCCCGCCACACCTAGTGTTCGCTCGCTTCAAACTACTATTTGCTTGCCTGCTGCTACTATTATTATTCATTTGACTTTTGGGCAAAATTTGTTTCCAAGGAGGGGCGCGAAAATTATTTTGTTCTCCGCTCGAGTTGGTCTGTGATTTTTCCCTTAATATTTTTTTTTTCTTTTCCTTCTCTACTCGGCCGCGCGATCTGTGACGTCTAGACCCGGGCGTCCATTGAATGACCCAGACAGACACCACGGTCGCAGCACAGCACCATTTGGATTCCCGGAATTTTCTTCAGGTGAAGGAGCCAAAAGAACTAGATTGGCCAGGCACCCACGACGTTTCATCCTCACGTGAAGAATATCCCTCCAAGGGTAAAAAAATCTATTACTGAAAAAGGCCTCGAAAGAACAAAAAGGAAAATTTTTTTAAAGAAAAAGGGAATTCTTGAATAACAAGCAAAAACAAGCGAAGAAGAACAAGACCCAACAACACATAAAGAGAGGGGAGAAAAAAAAAGGAAGGGAAATAAAGAGAAAACCAAAAGAGTTTAATCGGAGAAAAAAAAAAGAAAGTGAGAAGGGAAGGGGAAAAAAAAAAGCAAAAGAGGAAAATAAAGAAAAGTGACGAACACCCTTCTACTACTACTTCTACTACTACATTATTTCTCGAATCGGAGCCGCAGCAACAGCAAGCAACAACAGCAGCAGCCGCAAACTCAAGAAGCTTTCCTCCCCTATAAGAGTCAAAAGAAAAAGGCAGTCCAGTCAAAAGTGAAGAAGAAGTGGAAAAGGAAGCAAAGCAACTTACTTAGCAATCCACTTGGGTCGAATTGGCTGGTTAAGGTTTGTCTGGAACCGTGCTCGGCTGGCTCTTGCCGCTTGCATTCTGACGACACCATCCATCTTTTTCTTCCTTCTTGGCGCCGTTTTCGTACCGCATTCGCCTCATTGCAGCTTGAAAACTACTTGACGGTGCTACTGCAATTTCGGCCATCTTTCCCAGCGTCCCGACGCAAGTGGCAGCCCAGACGGTGTTTTCCTACGGATTCTCCACTCCGGAAGTTGGGTCGAAGGTCCAGCTCCAGCTGCTACGGACTGACTAACTAGTCAATCATACCGTCGTGTCCCATCTTTAACCAACCCCAACTCCCCTCTTTCACCCCCACCGTGTATCATTCTCTCTTCTAGTGCTTCGTCGAACCACAAGTCGCTAGCTGCTAGGTTCCAGAGACCCGAACTCTTCTTCCCTGCTGTTAATCCATCGGTTCATTCTTTGTTTCTTCATCATATCTCACTTTTCCCCTGGCCACCTTCTGTTGTTCAGACGTGGTTCACAGCTATCCGTTCTTGCGGATATCCGACTTGGATCCTTTGGCTCCCGTATTTGCTTAGGTTCGATCCTTGAGAGCTCGCCTTGATGAGTGCGTCGACGTTTCCGGACGCTTCCCTTGCCCGCGATTCTCAGAGGTTTGTCCTCCCCAGTTTGCTGGACCTCGTTAAAATAACTTCAACTCTTACTCAGCTACCCAGGGCTTCCAGCTGACTATGATTACCAGCTCCGACTTTGACCTGATCGTTCGCCAGCAGCCCAACCGGGCGCGCGTGGCGGGTGGGAAGGAGAAAGGTATGTGGAATCGCCCGCTTTGCCAGACTCTTCCGTTCTTCTTTCTTCTGAAAAGTACCCCCAACGGACGAGCAGAAGTTGACTTGGGAACTGTTTCCCCGCTGCAGAGCGCAAGCCAGTAGATCCACCGCCGATTGTGCAGATTCGAGTGAGAGAGGAGGGGACCTATCTCGCGCAGTAGGTGTTCGCGCTTGAGATTTGTGTTGTGTTGGTGAACTCAGCCCACTGACAAACCTCGATAGGCATTACTTGCAGAGCCCTTATTATTTTATGTGCTGCAGCTTGTATGACGCGTCAGAGGACAATCCGGTTCCCGTGGCCCCGTCCACCGCTCTGACCGGCACACTGGTTTCGTCTCTCCACAGGTTGAAAGATGTGGATAATACTGGTAAGCTGGGTCCTCGAGTGAGCCTGAAAACAGGCCTCAAATCGGCTTACTGACTGGATCTGGATCAGATGGCGGATTCTTCGTTTGGGGGGACTTGTCAGTAAAGATCGAGGGAGATTTTCGGCTCAAGTTCACCCTCTTCGAAATGCGAAAGTAGGTTTCCTTTTGGCTTCGCGGTAGCTCCCAACAAGCCTCTCCACAGCCTGTGTGAAGCGCATGCTGATTGTGCGGCGGTTAAAGGGACGTCGTAACCCATTTGAAGTCAATCATCACAGATAGATTTACCGGTTCGTTCACTTCCCCGCGAACCCTGTTCATGAAAATGCAGCTCCTGACCCCGTACAGTGTACCCGCCGAAAAGTTTTCCGGGCATGGCAGAGTCGACGTTCTTGTCCAGATCTTTCGCGGACCAAGGTGTGAAGTTGAGAATTAGAAAGGAGCCACGAACATTAATGTGAGTGAAGTAGCCTAGTGGCTGGGAAACCTGCGAGAAGAGGTTTTGTATGATTGACCAGTGAGACAGCAAACGACCTGTCCCCCGGCCAGAGGAGTATCCGCAGCCGATTCCGCGCTCGCCGGATCGTTCTTCGATCCAAATGCCAAGCAACGCGTTCAGCGCTTACCCGACGACGAGTCGGGACTACGGGTACTATGGACAGCAGACACACCCCAGTAAGCGGCCGCGAATGTCATCTATAGATCTTGGGACCCGGGGAATGTATGACACGGATGGGCGGATGCGTCAGATGGATACGTACCCTCAAACGGCGATCTACAATCAACCAGGCGGCTACGCAACTCCTATGATGCAAGGCTACCCTGCCGGGCACACGGCGGTTCCAGATTATGCGGTTCGTCTGCCCGATTCGTTGTTTAAGAGACCGGCTTGAGAGAACGGCAGCGTCCCCACGAAGCGTCGTTTCCAGGGCCGGGGGTTTTAAGCAGGACGCTAACAATATGGCAGATGTCTTACGGAATTCCGTCCTCCACTCAGGTACCCCAGATGCAAGACCCTGGGGCACACGGTCGATCCAGCCAGCAGGCCACGATGCAGTCCTTAGGAATGGTCAACGCGCCTGGTACTCCTGTATGGACTCCGCCTACCACCCGTCGTTAAGGACGAGAAGCTAAGAACCGTATATTATTCTGGATAGACAGCGGACTCGACGGGAGCAATGATGCCACAAAGCTACCCTCGTTCGCAATACCAGACTGGGTCCACAATCCTTCCTCCTTTGCAACAACGGAATCGAAATTTTGCTCAAGGAACCAACGGTGCAGCGGCACGAGGCTATTTCGATCAGTCTTCTCAAGCAGCGACGCCGATCCTTCCTTCACAACCTATTGCTACCAATGAAGTGGACAGGTACGGTTCTACGCCTGGCCAGGCGTCCTTTGAGCAACCTGCTTCAGCGACTGGGACCCCGCGATAAGTGGTTTCGGAGTGCTTAGGCTACTATGGCTCGGTTGCTCGTGGTCTTGATCGATGGTCGATTTTGCTCTGGTTGTTCTTTCTCTCTTCTTTGCTTTTACCTCCTTGGATAGACAGTTGGACGGGTGTTTTGCTTTTACTGGGAATAAGAATCGGGCTCTGGGGATAAATGGCGCCTCGGGGATTCAAAATGGGATAACCATACTACAGGTGTTTGATTGTTATTTCTATTCCCCGTTATTATGTTATGGTTACGGCTTTGGATCGAGTGATGACGGGATGATGGCTGGACGGTTGACTTCGATGTACATATTAACTTGACAGAATTTGACTTGAGATGGGTAGCTTAATGGTTATGCTGCCACTTCTCGTTATTATTAAAATGAATAATCTCAGAGTAATTCAGCTGGAGTTATTCCTTCCAGCACAGAAGTTATCTTCGCAGACTAAAGGTGGGCTGGCCTGTCTGAGGATAGGCCGGGTGTTGCCTTCCTTTTTGGGGGAGGAGCTTCCCAACTGGAGCGCGAATCAACCGGCTTCTTCCCCTCGTTAAATCGTCGCCTTCACCCTTCACTCCACAGTTGCTAGCATTCACTCATTCAGTCTTGCTCCCATTCTGCTCTTACAATCATTCTGCTTACACGCAGCTGTGTTGTCGTCCACCCGAGTCTGCTCTGATATTTTTACCTCAACGCATCATCAAACCAATCACTCTTCTGATCATGGCTTCTTACGAAGACGAGATCCGTCCAGTATCTCCGCCCCAAGCCTCTCCGGAGGTCTCCAACCTGGATATTCGAAGTACCTGGAGCGGCAGCCTAGATGAGCCCGTCAACTGCAGAATCTCTATGGTGGTGAGCAGAATACATCCCATCCCCTATGACTGTACTTTGTCCATTGCTCATTGAGAAATTTCCCCTTCGTCGAACTTAGGCCCATTGCATCCCCAACACGCAGCTGTCCATCTTGAATGTCAGATCTGCCGGAGTTTCTATCGTCAATACACAGTTGGTTCGGCTTCAGCCTGACCAGTATAGTGATGGTACTTGGTCAAGCTCGAGCTCCCCTTCCAGTCCTTTGTTCGCCTTTTCTTCTACAACAACAGACTCTTACCCAGCACATTCTCCGATATCTGGTTCAGAGCTTTTTGAGGGACATGTTCGCGCAGATATCGAGAATTCGGCTCGAGATTTAGTATCCTCAGTTGATGGGACTGCTGGTGGTCACTCTAATTGCCATATAGGAACCGATCAGCTGGGTCATCCTTCGGCTCATACGTCATCTGTATCCGTCATTAGCGATGAGTATACTAGAATTATTGATGCTATCAAGCAGCATAATCTGGGGAAAAGAAGTGCTGCTGCCGCAGGCCTGACGGACTCTCCGCCGGGCTCGGATACGGAGGATCATAGTAGGAAAGCTACGCGGAAGGATCATATTACCAACATCAGTCCTGCAAAACCGGAACCTAAAAGGGAAATACTTGAGGGCTGGGCAGACCACGATAGACACCCAGTTTCCGACTCCCTGTTTGTTGCAAAGGAAAGGCACAATGATCCGCCCAGCGGGGCCCAAAGTGACCATACAACACAAGAAATTTCTTCCAGCAGTATGCACCATAAGGGTATAGCCAGTGCTTTTGAGGTCAAGGGAATAGCAAGTGATATGCAGCTCGAAGCCAGTGATGCCTGTGCTACTCTCGACTCATCACCAGCGCATCCAGACACGAATGAAAAACCAGATCGTATACTTGAACAGCCAGTGATGGAGCGGTCCAGCTTCGGTGGAGTTAATGCAGACTTCTCTTCGATTGATAAAATTACATGGTTACCTGAGCCTTCACATGAAGGTACCGTAAAAGCATCCGGCAAAGTGCGCAAAGGCCCCTCCAGAAAACGTTCAAGTGCGGGCTCATCACTGTCCGTTCCAGCTGTGAAAGAAGCGCCACTATACAATTCCAGCCCCAGGGAGGTACTTATGGTAGCTGATAGCGAACCGAAGGAAATTACAGAGCCTCGACGACTTCCAAAGCTCACCATACCGCAACCTTCTCATGAAAAGACTACGGACGAAAAGGGAACCCCCACACAAATCGATGTCGAGTCACACTCGAATGTACACTGCGAACCAGTTTTGACTATTGACAGTGGTACTTTAATAGTTAAGAATCCTTCCAAACTTCAGCCAGGACACTACAAGTTCATTGTTACCGTATCCGTGTCCCTGCGGCAAAGAAAGCAGAGCGGATGGAATGATTTAGTAATCCAAGGCCTACCTAAGTTGGTAACTGGCGAGTTTGGGTACCTACTCTTTCTCATGCCAGAAGAACATGGTCTCGAGTTCCGCACCACGAACCTACAGAGACATAAGGTCGTGGAAAATTGCTTCCTGGGTGAGTTCAGCTATGCGGGTGACCTTGTGATCCCGTTGCGAAGGTGTGACCGGACATTTTACGGAGTCGTCAAGGACTTTACGGTGCACCAGGAGATCAGAGCCGAATATGCAGTGGCCTCTGCCAAAGCTGAAAGTCCGCCAGAATTGCAGGCAACATACCACGCCGTCTGCTCTGTCAGACTGCACAACCGTTGCTTTTGGGCCGAAACATGCTGTCTCATTCTCTCTGTCGACGGGGGTCCAGATAGTGTTTACCGCAGTAACCTTGATGCTCAAGAAAGCGGTCTAAAGATGATCCATATTCCAGCAAGGGAGAACGTCGGTATTGGCTCTGCTTACCTACAGATTGTTTGCTCTCCCCGAGATCTTGAACTGTTCTGTGTGAACTGGACAGTTCGGCTTCCCCAACACCAAGCAATCAGTTGGCTCCCACGAATTTATCCGGGGTTTACCAGCCCGAGTGACCGTGTTAGACATCACCTCCGACGAACATTCGAAAAAGTGGAGGCTGTATCAGACTCACGTATTGAGCGTTCTCGTGGCTACGAAATGGAGGAACCGGGAATTGATGGCTCGAAGAAGCCGGCAGATAAAAGTGCCGTTGCTGTTGTCGCGGACCTACCTGGTGAGGACAAACAGCCATTGGATAGTTGCACAAATGAGAGCATTCCAAGATCAGATAACATTGTACAGAAGATGAGACTCGTCTTCATATGCGCTATCTATGTTCTGGGGATCATTTTAGCGTTCTGGCTCAATAATACCATCATTGATGCTGTTGCTTCGCCAACTAAGGCAACACCCACTGTTACCGATCTGGCTGCGGAAAGCCTTAACATGAGTCAACCGAAGACATTACGTTGGCCAAGCTACATCGGTCAGCCCGATATGTCATGGGAAGGCAATTCCAAAGATGATCCAACGCCAGGAGTCAGTATTTCTGTGGAGGCAAACGAAGAGGTAACAATGGTTGTTGAGACCACGAAAGTGGGCCACGAGTCTACGAGATCGGCACCAGCTGCACCGCAAAGCCCTGAGTCACCGCGATCTGAACATGAGTTGACTTTTCGGGATAGGATTGATTACTGGCTTGGATGGCGGGGCCCAGTGGAAAGCGAGATTCACGGCGAGACTGTCGCATAATAGGAAAGATGGAAAAGAAGAATAGGTACTGATTTGAATGACAAGGAAGTGGCTTCGGGGAGGTACTCTGTGTAGTTAGGTACTACAGATGAACCAGGTTCTCATTGTCCTTCTGTTTCCGCAATGTGTTTGAGTACTTCCTCGACCGCCCACTCGAGAATGTCCGTCATAGACGCCTCTCCCTGTCCAGGAGCCACCGTTACACCCGCATCCATTCTCAGATTCACTCCCTGTCCCACCAGCTTGACCAGCTCCTGCGTGTCCGCATTCCTCCACTCCGTCGACCCTTCGTCCCTCTCCGGCAACAACAACCACGCATGATCCTGCACATAATTAGGCCACACAATATCATCAACATACCCCGGCGGATCCGTCCAGAAATTCTGCGGCGGCCGATCATCCTCCTTCTCCAAATCCACCTCCACCGACCCTCTCTGCGGCAACTCCGTACCCCCACCACTATCACCACTCTCACCCTCACTACCCTGATGTACCGGCGCCGGCCCAATAGTCACATACCCACTCCTCCCCTCCCTCCTCTCCTTCACATTATCATACCTCGCCGGCAAAAACAACCTCACATCCATCTTCTCCTGCACCTCCCTCAACCCATGGCCCGGATCTTCCTCCCTGGGTGGTGCGAAGAGCAGAAACCCCTCCAGGAAGACGATCGTCCTGACACCATCCCCATCCTCAGAAGCAGAATTGACCTTAGTATCAAGAAAGTACCCAGGGACCCGTTCCCTAACCATTTCCCTCATCCGAGATACAACCTCCTCCGATACCCCGGACTCCGCCACATCATTCAAATCTTCCTTTGACCGTAGGCGCGGAGGTAAGTGTCCGTGCGAATGGATGTAGGATAATGCGGCGCTGAGGAATGGGATGTCGAGTGCGGAAAGCGTGTCCCAGTTTTGGATCGAGGTGGTGGGGTTGCGGGGGTGGGGGATTAGGGGGATTCTATATGAATTCATCATCAATTTTGATCAAAAATCACAGATTAGATTGTAGGGGTGGTTAAAAGACAGAGGGCAATATCGCACTTGTCATCTGGATGGTAAAAGTCGTCTTCGTGGACGATGAATGTTCGGAGATTCGAGGTTGTGTTTGTTTGCGGGGTTAGTTTGGAGAAGATACGTTGGAGGAGTCGGGCGAGGGTCGTTTTGCCGCTGCTGGAGGGGCCGGAGATGGCGATTATGGTTGTTTTTTGTTTTGGAGGAGGCGGCGGCGGCGGCATCTTGGGTTGGGATGTTGGAGAGAGGGGGGGTGGGAATTGGGAAAGGAATGATGAAGGTGAGAACTGAGCAGACGTGATGTGATATAGGCATGGTGGGGCTGAGGTGGGGTGGGGCAGTCTTATCTGATCGGAGGGGTGTGGTTGTTTTTTTTTTTTTCTTATCGCAGTCAGGTTTCTTAGATCCTTGAAGGATGAATGGATAAGGAATTGAAATATGCGGTAGCTACGCTATTCGCTATATGTGTGTATGTTAGAATCAGGGTATGATTGATTTCATTTAAAGTCATCTAAGTACAGCAGTCATGTTTGATATGATCTCAATCAGGACACGCCCCTCCAAACAGAGATACCCTCTTCTTCCCCGGTTGGCCTGCTGCTTCTGCGCCGTCCGTGCTCGCGTGAGCACTATCCGTTTCTACCACCGGAAATGGCGAAGCCCGAGGAGACCGGTTCCAGGCTCGCGGAGGTGTCATGAGGATGCCCTGCGGCGAGAGAAAGTCCAGACTAGGAGACGTGGACTTACGCCTCTTTGGCGTGATGAGATCCGGCTCGTCGGTGCTCTCGCCTATATCCACAGTTCTGACGTGTTTCCGCTTCCGCAGGGTACTGCTGTGATCCGGGAGTCCCGGCCTGCTTGTTATTCCTTCCTCCTCGTCATCGGCAACGGCAAGCTTGTGTCGGTCGAATAGGCCAGTTGGATGTTTCAGGAACGCGCCTCGGGTGAAGCTAGAGTCTTCTGTTTCAGGCATCGGGATGTAACGCTCGTTCTGGATGATGGAGCTCATGGTGCTGTCGTCTAGGAGGTCTCGTTCGGCGTGGTGGATCTCGCTATCTGTCATTGCTTTTCTGCGCTTCAACATCTTGTCTTCGAGAGTGTCTTTGAGGACGAGGGTCTCGACGAACACGGGGCGGGTTTGGCCAATTCGATGGGCTCGTTTGATGGCCTGGCTTTCGACGTTCGGTTGCCAGATGGGATTGACTATGAAGACTCGGGAGGCGTTGGCGATGTGCAGGCCGTGCGATGCCTGGCGAAGGTCCATTAGGAGGACGCGCACCTCCTCCGACTCGCGGAATAGGGCGAGGTATTCTGCTCTCATGGTGGGTTTGAGGGTGCTGGCGTAGATGCGGAAGTCTATACCAAGGAGTTCGAGGCCTTCGGCTATCCAGAAGGCGGCGTTGTTGTTGTCGTAGAAGATGATGATTTTCTCGGTTTTGTGCAGCTCGGACACTTGGTCCAGGAGGTATGTTAGCTTTGCTGAGGCCGTGGCGACCAGTTTGGTTTGTGTGAGAGGGGATTCCTCCGGTAAGGTCTTGAATAGCCCCTTAGTATATGTCTTTTTGGGTGAGTTGCTCTTGACAGGTTTGTCTGGAGTGGTCTTCTTCGGACTCAGATTGTCCCCTTCTCGCCCTGAGAGCTCGCGACGGACCTTGATCCCTGCACCGGCAAGCCCTTCTGCTGGGTCGTACGTGTTCAGGTGCTTTGTGACGAATTTCTGTGCATGCCGCGCCTGTGTGATGCCTAGAAGAAGTGGCTCTTGGTGCGCAACCGAAGAGTCAATGGCCCACATACTTCGAGCATGCTCGGGGAAGTCCTGGATGAAAACACCGAGTTCATGCATCCTCTTGAAAGCACGCCAGCATCCAGATGCTTGAGCCTTATGTGCAATTCGAACGCCTTCGCGTAATGTCTCTATGTCCTCTTTGCTTGTCTTGTCCCCGCATAATTCCAGATGCTTCAGGGCGATGTCAATCGTGGGGGCAATATCGTCCGAGCCAGCCCACCAAAACCCTGCTTGACGAAGGTTGTTGATTACGGTGCTAAGGTGCTTGCGGTTCCGAGCATGGAACATGTAATCTTGGTCGGTGCGCTCCGAAGTGACGGCATTGACGGCCAGGCCGAAGATAAACATGTTCAAGTTCAATTTATCGTAGAAGGTAGGCTCCAGATGAACGACCTTGTTATGCAGTCTTGGTAGAGGAATCTCACTGTGGATGACCTCCAGACGGTGTCGCACAACAAGGCTCTGCAGGGTAGCCCGGAGAGACTGTGCTTTCCGTCGCCTGCCATCTTCGCCGATGGGCTTAATGTACTTTGTCCAATTAGCCGGGTCGCTTGTTCGAGGGTTAGACCACGGCTTCAGGTCGAGGAAGTCAATCACGATGTATCGTAGCTTGTCGAGATCCTTGAGCTCACTGTCCAAGGCGTTCCCTGTCTTCTTTCTACCACGAAGCACAGTCGTAGTAGCCTCAGTCAGATCAGTTTCGCTAGTATGTGTCTCCTGCGAAGCCAGACTGACTTCTACCCCATACAGCCCGCTGGACGGAGTTCCAGACACTATCCACCGACGCTCAATGCGAAGCTGACTCAGAATATGCATCATGGTGGTCCGATTACCACTACCGGCCACATTGTGGCCTTCATCGACGATAATCCGAAGCCAGTGAAGTTTCGTCAAAGGGGACTCCTCCGGCGTAAACGAAATACGTCTGTTATTAACCACCTCGCCCGCCTCCTTTTCGAAGCGGATCCGCGAAAACAGAACGATGTCGTACTGCAATAGCTCATCTGGTGAAGGAGTCTTGTCAGAGCTGTTCCTTAGTACAAGCACCTTCAAGCCATTGGTGTGTGCCGAAATTTCATTGTGCCAGTGGTTGACCAGATTAGGGGGCACGATGATCAGCGTCCCCGAACAAAGACGGATTTGCTGAGGCGGCGGTCTAGGATACGCCACTCCACTTCGACCTTTGTGCCTTGCCGGTGGTGGAGGTATAGTATAGGTGCCACGGTGCCTCTCACACTCCATAACACATCGCTCATAGAACGTGCCGTAGTATCCCAGAGTGTCGAAGTGGGTCTTCCAAGGCAGTGAGAAGCGGCCAGCTGTCGCCGCTGCCATCTCAACAAGACTCCCCGTCACCTGTCGGATGGGGTTCTTCATCTCCTGGTATTCGAGCGGTATTTCGGGAAAATGACCACGCGTTGCCAGGATTACAGCCAAGCAAATGAGTGTCTTGCCGCAGCCCATGGTTTCCGCAAGGATACCTATACCCAGTCAGACAGCCGTTCACGCGAAATCACAGACAGCATACCTCCACAAGCCTCCGAATACATCTTCTTCTCCCGAAATATGCTCCCCTCTTCCTTGTCGTAGTAGTACTCCTCGCCTCTAGGGCTCTTAAATGCCTGCAGCCGCGGATCCAGCACCTGCGCAGGCTGCACTTCCCGCTGGACCATAGTAGCAGCCGATCGGCGCTGGTAAGGGTACAGGGGCGTCTTGAGACCCAGCACCCCAGAGTAATCCTGGCCTGATTCCTCCTCTCCATGCGCAGTTACTGTAAGTAGCTCTCGCATCGCTCTCCTCGCATACGCATTTCTCATACTATCCAATTGGGGTTCCGGATCCTGTAGCGTATTGAAGATATACCAAAGAGACTCATCCTCCAGACTACCCACAGGGTTATCAGCAGCCTTCTGATCTACATGGACACTTCCGTTCCACACTTCGTCTGATCTGTCAATCCTCATCATGACTGCCTTGAGTGCGCGCCTCAATGCTGTGCTCGAACGCGGTATGGACTTGCGCCCGACGTCGTCAGGCAGCACATAAACGCGAACACCACACCACGACGATTTCTCCGCAAATTCTATCGTCTCAGTCCATATCCAGTGGTGTCTTTCCAAAGCCGCGATTTCCGATGCCGGAAAGTTATCCGGTTCGACAGGGGTTGTGAATCCGTTATCGTAACTTCCATTGCGCCTTCTCAAAACACCAATGCCAATATAGTTATCCAGATTTCGGAAAGTCTCGCTTTTACCAGACTGAGTATTCCCTGCAACAGGCTTCGACAACATAAAGTGTTCCGATTGAGGCGTTGCAGGCGTGGGCGTAGAAACCGTAGTTACGGTAGTTTCCGCGGAAGAATCGGGCCCGGTCGAGTTCAGAGCATCATCATCTTTCGCAGCCATGGCACAGCTCAATTCTGGAGTTTGTATCTGCAGATATTGAAGCAATAAGTGAGCATTAAGCCTGTCAACAGAAACGGGCAGTTTCGCGAAGCAGACATCCAGCGCAATGTAACTTGAATGCTATCCTCACATACGTGCATACAACATACCTGTTTAACTCCAGCAGCATCATTTCCAGACACCGCAGTATCATTACGTATCATATCGTCATCAGTCGCTAACATATCGTCCGTATAGGATCTGTCGTTGTGACCCTTTGCCGTCACGGAGGCTGCATGAAGAGGCGATAGCCTTTAGCGGGCAGCTCATGCATTCGATCAGACTCGGTCGTGGTGAGAATTTCCACAGAATTCAAATTCAAATTCCGGGGTAAGCTAGGGCAGCGCTAAACCGACCTGCCCGGTCTTCACAAGACATGTCCAGTGAAGGATATGCGCTACAGTCGCATTCATCGCACCGCGCATTCCAGGGTATCCCGATAAGCCGGCAATCATCGCCATGGTTCGCCTGTGATTGGTCTGGACTGGTCACCGCCCTGCCCTTTACCAATTTAGGTTATATTAGGAGGTTTCTTGAGGCCTTAGGCAGCGATGTGGATTGTCCTGGATTATGGGGGAGCACTATTGATGGCCGGCTGCATCGGTGGGCTATTACTAGCTTGTATGGAATCCAAATACAGTAAGTCTTGTCAAGTGTTAAGATAGAAGCAATGATGCCTGCGCCTTCGTGCATAATGTCGGTAAGTAGAAACAACCTTGTCGATCACAGACATATATTATCCGGAGCTGATAAGTAAATCTACAAGAAAAGCCTCCCATTTTCACTAGCCACAAAACCCCGAACCAGACAGAACCCCCGCAGAATAGGCTAGAGCCTAGAAAAATGATATCGAAGAGTAATAAAAAAAAAAAAGGAAGGCAATTTATGAAAGAGTAAGACCCCCATATGTCCGGAGAAGAATGTCAAGAAAAGACAAGAAAAAAAAAAGGAACATGCGAGCCTGACAAAGCTGGCATTTTTTGGGTAGGATCATATTACAAGCTCATTGGGTGAGGAAGTCCTCAATTTCGAAGCCGACTCTCTTAAGCGACTTCTCCTCTAGTTCACTCGATGAGGATGCCAGTCTTCGCACCACAATGGTTCGCGCATCATGAAGACGAACTTCCACGGGGTTACCTCCAAGACGCTCTAGTTCGTCCTTCTCGCATTCTCGGATGTACACGGTTATGTCCGGTCCTACGCACGCACGCCACAGAGATGCCATCCACTGCCAGTGGTCAAGTGGTGCATACGAGTCCCCGATTGGGACGGAGCAGGCAAAAGCATCCGCAGTCGTTAGTTGGTATCGTGGCACAAGTGCCACAGGCACGGGCATAGTAATGGAGCCCATTCCGGTAGAGACTGTCGACACAGAGCTGTTGTCGCTGGATTGCTCCGGAGAGTTGATCTGTAATTCAGCAGTCTTGGGTATAATAGTCCGCGGCGACACTCCTGGCGTAGACTCTTCGTCGACTGACTTTGGCTCCGACGATGCTCGTGAAGGCTTCACGAAGCTAACTATTTCGTCAGAGATGCGGTGCCAGGAGGAGATGATGTTGAGATAATCGACAGTTGCGTCACCCATTTGCTCGGATTCGGAATAGCTTTCACGAGACCGAATCTCGGGTCCTCCGAAGACTCGGGTGAGATATCTGCCCTCCTTCTGTAATGTGATGTTCAAAAATTTGACCATCATCTTGACAAGAACAGAATCTTGTCCATCCACAGCAATCACAGCCCCGCGTCGGAACGAAGATCCGTCATGGTATGCTGGTGTTAAGGGCGGTGAGATCTTAGCCAGAACCTTTATCTTGTTGAGAAATGGGATTGTCATGACCGTCGCTTCAATGCTAGGCCCATCATGCGAATATGGAGTCGTTGGGGTGAGAGTCCCGGGAACATGAGCAGCTGTTTGTAGCGGTGGAAGTTTCAAGCTGGGGTCCGGCGGGGTATACTCCTTGACATCTCGGCCGGGCCGTGGCTGCTGTAGCGGCTGGTATAGACCTCGTGAGTCTGCTACGGCCGAGCGAGGTGTGTATGGAGATGCAGGATATGAAGAATCTGGGCTCCTTTCACGGATTTCGTAAGGACCAAGCGGTCCCAACCGCCTGCGCTTACTATCTGGTGATCGGCTTCTGCTTTCCACAAAGTGCTGGCGAGGCATGCGTGATTCTCCATTTCCGTTAGGGATGAGCTTGATGACATTAGGAGCACGGTCCAGATCTTTGGCTCGACACTGGCTACTGCGTGCTGAGAAGACTTCACCAGGTGCCGACTTTCCGCCGAAAAAGGAGGCCCTGGGTGTATAAGGAGTCTCTGGTGATACTGGAGGGTTCATCACACGGCCTCCACATCGGCTGCAGACTGTAGAGCCTGGAGGGTTATGGCTGATGCCAGATGCTCCGCTCCGGAGATTCCCATCCCGACCGTAGCGACGAGGTTGATAGCGATACTCTGGGTATTGTTGTTGATGCCGAGCTTTCTCCTCCTGTCAAGGGTTAGGTGGCTTGAGAGTCTCATAGCGTACAATGTGCTTACCTCTGCCAGCGCTTTCCACTCATCCTTTGTCTCCTGTGGTAGTCCTCTCCATTGCTCCCCGATAATTTTGGAGATTTCAGGATTGGCAAGGCCTGGATTCTGCGCGACCACTGCAGCCTGGTAATGTTGGCGGTAGAGGATGAACGCTTTTACCTGTTTGTCAGCTCAAGAAGCAAATCGAGTAGATTTCAGGATGCATACCATTCCGGGGCCTAGGGATCTTCGGATCCGGCTGACAGAGGCAGAACTGTGTTGCCGACTCCCTTGGGGTGGGAGCATTGGACGACTTGATTGGACTAGATGACGACGACCGTTCCGACAAAGATGAGCGTTCACGAAGAGGAATAGCCTTGGTAGGTAGAAGATTCGCGGACTTCGGGACCTCAATAGCAGAGGCAGCGTTGGAGGCGACTTTGTTGAGAGCCACCTTGCTTCGATTCAGAGTGGTCAGATGCACCGGAGGCAGTGTGTCAGTGAATCGACGATGACCACTCAAAGCAGAAGAGTCTAGATGACGGTCCATCATGGACACTTTCGCGACGTCGTCATTCATGATCTTATGCTCGAGGAGGTTACTAGTAGGCCGTGACAGGGGAAGATGGTGAGAGCTGTCATGGTGTAGAAGAGGAGGCTTGGGCAGAACGCGATCGTAAGACATGACATTTATTTTATGGAGTAAAAGAGCAAAGGGATTTTTGGGGGGGACAGAGAAGTGGGTGAGCCAGCAGACTGAAAGGAAATGGCGGGCAATGAATAATGAAAGTCTGCGAGATGGTGGGTGAGAAATCGAGGTTATAGAGAGAGCCGTGGCCCTTGAATGGGCGGACGCTGCACAAGTGGATGAAAGAAAGAAAGTCCCAATATAAGGTTATAGTTATAGTCAACGAGACGAATGAGTTTCTCCTCGTGCTGCACCGGGTATTTCCAAACAGGCTGTTGTTAATACTTTCTTTTCTTTTCTTTCTTTTTCCAATCGAGCGGCCGTCTCTGTTGGTGTCTTTTGGTGTAGAATATTTTAATTTTTTTCTCAGTTCAGGGTCGAATGATAATAATTAGGAAGAAAAGATGATAATCATAATAATAAGAACGCTGATAATAATATCCAGCTGAATTATGATTTGGAGGCGTCAGGGGTGTCCTCACTGCTGGTAATTTTCTTTTCTTTTTCTGCCTTCCTTTTGCTGCCTCCTCGTTCTTTGACAATGAAATGATATTTCCATTCAGACCGAGCCAACCAAGCCGAGGGGACGCCAGTGAGATAAAGCCAGGATTTGGCTTTTCAAGTGCTTTGTTATGGGGAGCTATCTTTGGGGCCCTTCGGTCTGGCGCCCCTCCCTTTGACTACCACTAAAAAATCCCGGGCTTTTTAGTTTCTTTGTCCCTGTCAGGATGACCCGAGTCCTTCGTTCGGTTGGGAGGGGACATTATCCCCACCAGAGACAGCTGTTCGGAGAGTTGTGATGGAACCTCAAAGTGAGGAAACCTCCCGGGTTGGGAAGGACGTATCATCATGGTACCTCTCATCGGGTGGTGTGGTGTTGTACTGGGGCGGAGGAAGAGAGGTACCTTGACTTGACTCTACTTAACTTGTCCCTGGATGAACCCCCAACCAAGGGTACCCGAGAACTGGAAGAGCAAGAGAGAGCCAGAGGGCGAGAGAGACAAAGTGGGCACTTGGGAGGTAGTAGCAGAAAAGCAACAACCTGAATGTGAACCTCTTCTTCTTCTTCTTCGTCTTCTTCTTTTTTCTTGCCAGGTGAGTCAGCAGTAGGGGCAAGAAATGGGCCCTTCCAGAGCTCTTTCTGGTTGATTGATTGCCTTTTTGTTTTGGGGCCATCATTTAATTTGTTTGGGCAGTTCGATAATAACACACATTTTAGTAAGTCATAGCTACCCCGGAAAGCTACTACGTAGTTAAACTGCGGACCTAAGTACCTAGTTGTTTTACCTTTTCACTTTCTGCCCTTTCCCCCTTCTCAATACCCTCCCTAGTCAAGAAGGACTACCACACTGATCGACTAGTTGCTTAGAGATTGCTCTACAGGTTTATTGTTTCAATCCTGGAGCCATTTTAGCTTTCCTTTGTCTGTTCGGCGTCCGCATGCGGTGTGCTGCAGTGATCTGGGACCAATTAGCGATCCACAGAGCCCGACCGGGCCTGGCAATTGGCCCACCGCCAATGTGACACATGCGCAAATGGATTTGATTGTCTTCCAATCGTCTAATTTCTCGCCAGCATCATCCTGCTTGCTTTGCTTTACCACGGTCTGGCACGCACACCACTAGCCTTCTACAGTAGTGGTACCCTACTCGGCTGCCTAGGTGGTACGTTGAAGGTACTGGTTGTTTGCTGCTGGCTGCTTGCTATGTGCTTGCTCCCTCGCAAGTATCGTTTGGTTACTAATTACTACCTACCTACCTATTTGAACTAACTGAACGTGCTTGATTTGCTTGCTTGGCTCTCTTAAGGTAGTAGTTCCTGGAAGTTTGATACCCACTAATCTACACTGGATACTGAACTCCGTCGTTCCCCATTTCTCCCTATTTGCTTGGACCATAAATTAAAAAGGAAAACAGCGATCGTGGCCATGGCTACTATGGTGTAATACATACATTCCAGGTGGCGGTATCAGAATTCCGCCATCTCCACCTCCACCTCTCTCCTCATATAAGCAAAGGTACTTTTTATCCAGGACAGCTCCTGGCTAATGACAGAACTTCCCGAGGCTTCCATGACAGCAGGCCGATCCTCTTCGGAGACAAAGAAACTAACAGCCAGCACCGAATGAAAGGAGAGAGGAGTCAAAAAAGAGAGAAAGAGAAGAAGCAAATAAAAATAAAAAAGAACCGAAAGCAAAACAGGGAAAAGAACGGACAGCCCGATTTGGCAAACTGACACTGGATGGATCCTACTTCTTACCACCGACACCACCAAATCTCCATCCACCAGCACCATCTGCACCATCCGCACCATCCGTTACCCCTGCTGCTTTCCCCAACCACCCTTCAAAGGGGGACTTTCCACAGGGTCTGGTCAGGTTCCATTATTCTTTACCTCCCCAAAGTCTGATCCGTAGTTCCCCCGATCCGTCAGAAAGGTTCACGGGTCTCCATTGACACGTTGATGTTGCAGGTGTCCCCATTCCCAGGCTGGAGACCGGATCGATCTACCCTGTGGCGATCGCATTCCGATCCCTGCTCCACCTTCCACCGCCATCACGTTACAATCGTCCGTCTCCGGATGGGGCAGCCTGACTTCCGTGCTCATTCTCAATGAGACATACCACTCTGGCCAGTCCCCCGTTCGGTCCTTGTTTGGTAACGACCTGAAATCTCTCGTGATTCGAAACAGTTGTGCTCCCCCAGTACAAACTCTTTCCTCTCACTCATCCAGTCTCGGAGCGGGCAGAAAGACATGGTCTCAGACCTATTGACACATCGCCTAGAAACCAGCCGAAGAATCGGATAGCAGACTCATTGGAGATAAGAGAAGCAGGCCGCCATTTGACAGTGCCGTTCGTCAGCGTTTGATGGTCCCGGGAAGCGGCTGATGTCTAATCATCTACAGAACAAGTTTCCCTCCAGCCTGTCCTTGGCGAATTACGTCTCACGAGGGAATGAAAAATAATAGTAAGACCTCATCGGTTGCGCTTTTAGAATTTTTTTTCTTTTCTCTGCTCTCTTATTTTGATGTTTTAAGGGAAAATCATCGGAGCCACATCTCTTCGATTCCATGGAACACTTCCGCGCCCAGAAGTCTATGCGCTGAGGGGCCAAGGTGCATGTCGTTCCTGAGAATGATACGGTCAGCACTCGATCAAGTCAATGGGCGCCAATCATAATGCCTTGTCCTTACCAGAACAGAAATTTCTCTGGACGGTCGCACTGTTGCGCGCCTGACGTCACCATCCATTGCTGGCTGCTTTGGACGCATGCGTCTTCAACATTCTCCCAACCGGGATCCTCGTTCTTCCCCAATCCACTCTCTTCCTCGATCCCTGCGACATAGAGTTGCCAGTCGCGAATCTGGTCGGTCAGAAAAGAGTTGGTGTCGAACAAATAAATCGTGCCGTTCGACCAATCTTCGGCGTTATTGCGGAGTTCTCCGTTCCAATAGTCTGCGATCCTCACGGCATCTTTGTGCTTGGTAATCTGCGGCTGCCCCTGCGCTCTATAGGCCGGCAGGAAGGTTACATCTGGTGCTAATGTCAGGATGATCTTGAGGTCATTGCTGCCCCATGTCTCGGCCAGCAAATCCAGCTCCTCCATAATGACTTTGATATTGCGATCGACTGCATGGGATGCGTCCTCGTACGTCTTTGCCATTACGTTCCACAAATCCCATACACCAAAGGATACAACCACGATGGTGCGATTCTGACGCATGCCAACCGCAGTCGCATCCATCTCTCTCGTGGCTTCCGTCTCCGCCGCAATCCAATTGGCGACCTGAGCTTTCAGATCCGCCAATGGAGACTTGTAGAGGTTGAGTAAGGAACCCGACAGCTCCGTGTTATCCACGACAGAGCCAATGTAGTTTCCTCTCAGAGACTTGGCTGTCTCTGCTAAGTTTTCATGGTGACATGAGAACTGGGCCGAGAGATTAGCTTGCCACTTTGATCCAGCCAAGTAGCTTTCACACTCACCGAGTTACAAAGCCAGTCCGTCCATACAGATCCCTGAAGCTCGGCTGCATTGTTATCGCTCCACGAGTCACCAAAGACGACTAGGCGACGGTCGAAAGATGCCGTGGCGCGGAAATCCGACGAAGGCTCTTTTGTCAAGACTACCCGACGATAGTAATGCTGAGAGGCGAGAAAGGAGGCTGATAGGAGAATGCTGCACACAGCCAAGGCGCAGACCGCGTGAAATTTGCTAAAGAGGCGCATTGGGTCCGGGCATAAAGGACGGATACGAAGGGCGGAGGCGAGACAGCGAAAGTCGCTGGGCTTCGCAGGCGAAGCCGATAAAGCTGGGGGCGATCGGCGGCACTCTTTGTTGCGCGGTTGCACACAACGATCCTGAGTGTATACGTTTGACCAAAGGAAAACGAGAAGAAACCGAACAACGGGAAAGGGGGGAGGGATGAGATAAGACGGAGACGCCGTACGTAGTGATCTGCGGCGAGATCAAGCAAGAACTTCTTCCCCTAACAGAAGCACAAACGACAGGATGACCTCCGGCAGTACCGTGCAAGAGGAGAGACTAATAGCGTGCGATGGGGATGGTTGGCGCCAGAGTGGGGACTTGACTGGAGAACTCTGTCAGTCGGATGAAAACGAGAACCTGAGGGGAACGGATGCAGTAACAAGAAAAAGGAGACAATACCGAACAGTGCGAGAGTTGAGTGAGGAAATAGAAAATGTTCCCTGACCTGTCCACTACGATAGCGCGCTTGTGGCCATCTTTGCATCTGCCGTAAGGCTCTTCTTGTCCTGGCCTCTCGGACGTTGGCAGTGGCCGCGCGGCGAACGTCGGAACGGTAACCAGTCGCGTGCTCTGGGTCTTTTGCGTCAGTCCCAAGACTCCATCGAGCTTGGAAGAGGCGGTTTTGTACAAGGGCCAAGTCCCCCCATTAGTGGATCTCACTGGCCTGCCCTCGTGGACATTTCTCTGTTCCAGCATTAGACATGACATGGAATCAGCAACGAACGTCTGTCGGAAAAGGCGGTCATGTTCCCTGAACCCCCTTACTGGGATGTCATGAATAACACCCCTCCTCAGCCACTATCTATCTATCTACTACGTAGTAGTATCTACTACCGAAGGCGCAATTTTGGTGGTGGGTAGTAATCAATCAATAATCGACCATTAATACATAACGGGGGGCCGCCTCTCCAAGACAGGCTGCCACTTTAGACTCCGACCTTCAGAACGGCCCAACTGGATCCGGATTGGTCTCCCGTCTTTGGCTGTCGGGAACGGAAGAACGCAATGTGCAACTAAATCCGAGTCAGCGAAAGCGCCCTTCATAACTATACCTTCCTTCCTATATATCTGGTACTTCTCGAACTTCTGGTTGCGACTTATGAAGATGCACTTCGAAGAAGCTCCTTCCAAGCTTTGCTGGTCGTCGTGATTTCGATCCGGACCAGTTCGGCACCTGCTTGACTGACTAGATCTACTATTCCCCTATCGCCGAGACGCTCAGGGGTGGACTATAACTAACCCCTGGATGGCATCAACTACTCACTTGGGACAATAAGCTCATTATGATGAAGAGTTCTTATTCTCAAAATCGTCCTGCGTCATGATACGCATGTGCGCCCTCTCAGTGCCTGGCTCCAAGCGCACACATCAGCCTACATGTATTGCATTATAGGCTGCAGGACAGAGTCCGGAGTACGCAACAAGTGAAGGTCAGCTCGGAGAAAGGCCTATATGACGAGAGATGTGGCACCTAAGACGCAACACGGTGGCTCCCCGAATTTGCCTTGTTGAAGCTTAGGAGGCACTCTACTCAAAGATAGTTTAGGGGTTTGGTTACTGAATATAGTCAATAGACTGTTCTAGCTGCTGACTGTTGGATGCATAAGGTCGCGATCAGAGACATGTATGGTTATCAGACATAGATATGGAAGACCCCGATCTGTTGGAGATATTTGACTACAAATTTGCCTACTGTGTACACAAGGGTCGCAGGGATCACACGAAGATCAGGTGACTTAATACACGCTTCCACTTAAGGGACAGAACCTAACCTGTCTTTTGTATCAAGTAGGTGCATCATGGAATACGAGCGTCAGCGCGTAACCAAAACCTTAGACGTTGTTTTTTATCACAACAACTTGATGGTATCCTCGAGCATAAACACAGGCCTAGCCTCGTAGTTCCCGAAAAGGCAAGGGGGCAAGTCAGGTGCCGGGAGTGCTGACATAAGAGCCCTACCGAGGGCACTAAGTCCAGAAGGGTTAGTGGACTTAGTCAGCCGCCCACACAGGGAAATCTCGCTACACCACCAAAAAAATCCCACGAAGAACGAATCCCCGACGACCTGAACCTCCTCGACCTGTCGACAAACCGCGCCCTCCGTCTTGACCGCGCAGACCCGTCAAGATGAAGCTCAACATCTCCTACCCGGCCAATGGGTCTCAGAAGATCATCGAGGTTGACGATGAGCGCAAGCTCCGTCCCTTCATGGAGAAGCGCATGGGAACCGAAGTCAGCAACCCTTCCCCCTTGGATATCCGCCCCCCGAAAACACCACAGTTGGAAAAGAGACGAAAAATGAGAAATACACGCAAAATTATGGGAAAAGCAGAAGACTGATTGGGGTTTCTTTTATTGCTATAGGTTGCCGGCGACTCTCTCGGTGACGAGTTCAAGGGTTACATCCTCAAGATCACCGGTGGTAACGACAAGCAAGGTACGACTGGATTGCTTCTCCCCTGTTATTTCGGATTTGGGCTCGACTAGAAGGACTCGCATACGAACAAGATTCTTTGGATATCATGGTTAAAAGAATGAACATTGGATGCTGACTTGGACGCTCTTCACAGGTTTCCCCATGAAGCAGGGTGGTATGTACCGACCGACGCAAATATAATCCGACAAAAACACAGCAGAAACTCATCGATTTTGTGTGCAGTTCTCCTCCCCACCCGTACCCGCCTCCTCCTTGCCGATGGCCACAGGTAAATGCGACCTGCCGATATTGGAGTTTACGAAATGGAAGACTGATGTCCGCTGCAGCTGCTACCGCCCCCGCCGCACTGGTGAGCGCAAGCGCAAGTCCGTCCGTGGTGGTAGGTTTTATCCAACAACAATACATCCGTTATTACTCTCCGAGTTGATCCGTTGACGCTTCGTTTTTACAGCCATCACCGGTCAGGACCTCGCTGTTCTTGCCCTGAGCATCGTCAAGCAGGGTGAGGGTGAGCTCCCCGGTCTCACCGACACCGTTGTCCCCAAGCGCCTCGGCCCCAAGCGTGCCACCAAGATCCGCCGCTTCTTCGGTCTCGACAAGAAGGACGACGTCCGCAAGTTCGTCATCCGTCGTACCGTCACCCGTGAGGGCAAGCCCGACTACACCAAGGCCCCCAAGATCCAGCGTCTGGTTACTCCCCAGCGTCTCCAGCGCAAGCGCCAGCGCATTGCCCTCAAGCGCCGTCGTGCTGAGGCTGCCCGCGAGGCTGCGTAAGTGCACCTGTTCCCCTTTGATGGGGCACGCACCCAAAATGTATGAACTGGACATCCGCTAACCATGCATCCGATACAGTAACGACTACGCCAAGCTCCTTGCCAGCCGTGTCCACGAGGAGAAGGCCAAGCGCGATGAGCTCCGCAAGCGGAGAGCGTCTTCGATGAGGAAGTAAATGTGTTTGTCCGCGGGGGTTAATGGTCGGGTTACGTCTCTGTTCTAGCTAAGGGAAAAAGGGTATTATAGAAAGAATCTCAAGCAAATGGGAAGGGGGATTTTTTTTATATCCACCCATTTTCTCTTTTCCTATCTTCGAGTTCCGAAGCAGAGCGACCCAAGAACAAAAAGCTCCTTGTTGGGGAGGGAGAGATATCGAGAGAGAGAGAGAGAGGAGAGAAGGCGTCTGCAGCGGACCGAGAGACTTTGGCGTGCCGATATTGTCTGATCCACCAACACATCAAAACCAAAAAAGGAAATGCTATATCTCTCCACAATTTTTATGGAAATGAAAGGGATTAAAAAATGTGAAAGAATTTCTTCGTTTTTTTCTTTACACACTTTTTTATTCTATATGGCCTTGCGACCATTATCCCTTCCCCTTCCCTGGCACGATAAAAAAAAAATACCCATGGACTCCGGTTCCCCGCAGATGATTTACTCTCTTATGTGCGCTGCTTGTGAATGAAATGAAACTTCTTTGTATTCCAAAATTTCAGTTGGTGTTTTTTTTTTTTCTGTTCTTTTTGGTTCTATCTTTCTCCCCGCCGTAGTGTGGTCACTTAACTGTAAGATTCTTGTGTGGTTGCTTTTACCTGGACCCTACTGTGGTAAAACCTAAAATTGTCCCAATGTAGCCCAGCCAGTGGATTGATTGATTATTGTGTGGTCAGTACTTTTTTTGTGTACCCACAATTATTCTTAACCCAAGATCCCACTAGCGATCGTTAGTCAAGTGCGGAGTAGACACAGACACAGACAGACACACCACTTGTTAGTATGACTGCAGGTCTGGCCAAATCCACACAATCCCACTTTATGTATTGATGTATATAATACGTTCATTATTTCTGATCAATTGTCATCATGGAGGGATAAATCTACATAGACTGGTGAATCGAATCTCCGCCACACCCAACTGTGCAAAATGTATACTTCAGGCACGGGCACCCAGGGCTAAGTACTAATATAGATATTAGAGCTACTAGGAGGCAGGCGAAGTCAAACCCCGCTAGCAGTAGTAGTAACATCCATCTAGTATCTCTACGGAGCTAATTACTACATAGTAGCAGGAATGTGTGTTAGTAGTACTATTCTTAGTATTTCATGGTAGTTGAAAACATGAAGACCGCATCACCCATCTATTCATCAGGTATATACTCCCGAACGCAGAATGACAAGATACTAAGCAACACAACATATGTTTTAAATGTCATTCTCCCTATCCTTAACAATTAACTACGTACCTGCTAATCCTATATAATACAGCCAGACGGTAATACTTTCAACATACTTTTACTGCCTGCATTGTATTCACCCATAGTACCGTAGACCACTCGTACTGACTTTTCAAAATCAAACAATCAAATCAGCCACCAAACCCATTGTTTCACAACTAAATAAATACACACATCAATAGAGAAACAATAAATCTTACTTCTTAGCCCACCTACAAACTTACTTAGTACTAATTTCATTCAAGACCATAGTTGAACCTACACCTAAACTCACTATACGAATATTAACAATGAGACATCTATACCTAACAAGTGTATGACGGATCCAAATGTCTAGAGGCGAAACGGGGAGGAAACAGAACTTATTGTTTCTTATTCCATCGGTCTTAAAGAGAACCTTCAGTCGATGCATAGTGTATTCTAATTATCTATCACCTCGTTACTATATGTATTGATTATGTCAATCTTGTGATTGATATCATGTATGATATTATCCTGATACTACTTTAGGTACTAGCAGCATACTGAATCCTCCTCAATGAAAAGCACCTTCTTCTAGCTCCACAATATTCTTATACTATAGCACTGGTACTAAGTGAGTAATCTGGAGTAACACCAACCGCAATGAACTTTACCTCCAGTCAAGTAAAATACAACCACTGAGAAAAAAAAAAACCCAATATATTTTTATTGGGAACCCCCGCCTCGCCCACCTTCTAATTTATTTATTACTCCGGGGAACATTTTCCGTCAGGATACTTTTACATTGTGAGCTACTATTACTGGTAAGATAATAGTATTTCTAGGGAACCCTGAAATGTACCACCATAGGTACTTATGGCATAGAGTCAAATTTGGAGTGCAAAAAAAGCAAGCATAATAGTGCACCTGATCAGTAAGGGATGGATGGATGGATGGATGGATAGCATGCTGACAAGTCGGACTACTACTACTTAGTAGTACTGATCAGACCCGGAAATATAAATTTCGGAACTGAATGTACGACTTGCAGTAAGATCGATTTAGGGCTAGCCCGTGTGCATTATACTCAACTATTTGATATCTCCGAGGTTAAATTGACGTCTATGAATGTTTATTTCGTACTTTCTGTACTGATAGTAAGTCCGTGGAGTGTTTTTTCTTTTTTTTTTTTTTCTTTTTTTTTTTTTTTCCCAAATCTCAGTATTTCCAATCTGACTATATCTATATTCAGAGCGTAGGACGGAATCCAATTCAGATGGCAATCTATTGTATCAGTAAAATTCACATGTGATCCGCTCACAATAAAGAAGAATAGTACATCATCAAAATGAAGACGACCACGGGGAGAAAAAAAAAAAAAAAAAAAAAAAAAGAAAACCGTTGATATATGTACAGTATAAGTGCTTCAATTCAGCTGGTAATAGAAAGCAAAAAGGCGCCGCCGACTTTTTCATATCTCCCTTCCTTTCCACCTTCTCAAAGGTCCATAAGCTTCATAACCGGTAAATGCGTTAAATATAGTTTGACAGACGGAGGCGCCTATCCCGGGAATTCCGTGGCTAAAGAGTCCTAATTTCATGATCTAGGTCCTCCTAGAGGTATCCGACTACGCACGACAATAATAAAAAAAGAAAAAGCAAATGTGAACCGCCTCCAGATAGCGGCATGTCCATCTTGTCCTCCACCACTGCCATGTGCCCTTACTAGTCGTTTAGGCGACAGCGTGCGAGAACAGGAAGCTCACAGACTCGCCGTTGTGCGTACGTCTGCAGGCCTCTGCAAGAGTGGGGCTGATGTCGATCGTCTCGATCTTATCGCACTGCTCCTTCTTGTCTTCGTGAGGGACAGTGTTGGTCACAACAACACGGCTCAGGCAGCTGTTGTTGATGTTCTGAGTAGCCTTGCCGGAAAGGATACCGTGGACGACGATAGCGTTGACTTCCTTAGCTCCGTGCTGCATCACAGTATCGGCGGCCTTGACGAGAGTACCGCAGGTATCAGCCATGTCGTCAACGATGATAGCGATCTTGTCCTTGACGCTACCAACGAGAACCATGCGCGAGACCTCGTTGGGGCGGGGGCGCTCCTTGTGGATGAGCGCGAACTGGAGATCGAGGCGGTCGGCGATGGCAGTGGCACTATTCAAAATTGCCCATTAATATCGACTTGTAATATATCAAGCACCCAACTGAATCAAATTCACTTACCGCTTAGCACCACCAGCATCAGGACTGACAATGATGCAGTTGCTCACATCCAGGTGTTCGCGGATCCACTTCAGAATGCTAGGCTCGGCATACAGGTTATCGACGGGAACGTTGAAGAAGCCCTGGATCTGGCTGGCGTGGAGGTCCATGGTGATGACGTGGTTGCAACCAGCAGTCTGGAGCATGTTTGCCATAAGCTTGGCGGTGATAGGAGCACGGCTCTTATCCTTCTTATCTTGGCGCGCATAAGGGAAGTTGGGAATGACGGCCGTGATACGTCTTGCGGAGGCGGTCTTGCAAGCATTGATCATGATGAGCAGCTCCATCAGTCCATCGTTGATATCATTGGGCCGCGTCGACTGCAAGATGAAAACTGCAGGGTGCACACATTAACCCAGGATCTTTTGCGGGCCTGAGTCTGAGCAGGCGGAGTGGGCAACAATACCATCCTCATCTCGTACACTCTCTCCGATTGTGACGCTGGTTTCCTGGTTCGAATATTGGAGGACCATGATCTTGGTCAGTTCAATGCCAAGCCTGTCAATTGAAACGGCTCGTTAGTCCATGGTGTACTGCAAGGGTGCAGAAATAGTCCAGAACTATAGCGCATACCGAGCTGCCACAAGGGTTGCAAGCTCAGGGTGACTGTTACCAGTCAAGAGCTTGATCGAGTTCGAAGCCATTTTTGGAGATTGGAGAGAAACCGGAGGAGGGGTTCAGGTGAGAGCGGCGCGTGGAACCGGACAGGTGTAGAGGGGAGATTGATTTGGTGATTGAGAAAGAGTGAAGAAGAAGTTAGAGAGCAGTAATTAGCATGCCTGACAGATAGGAAACGCCCATCGACCGGAGAGGGAGCAGCGGATTGAAGAAGTTGAGATTCGAGCCGATGCCCCGCCGGCAGGTGACTTTTTCGCCCAGCAGAAAAAAGTTGCATCCCGTGACTCCCCGGATCCACCGCCCTTCACCGCCTCCAGACTACGGAGAAGCACCCGGCTGACTAACCGCGCATCGATGGCTGGATAAGGAGTATTGAGAGTGGGTGAAAGAACGAGAACATTGACTGGAATTTTCTAAGTAATTGACACATAGCTGAAGAAAGTACATGCTGCTGCAATTTGCAAAGTAAAACATAAAAAAAAAAAAAATCTTCGAACCGATCCCCAGCATTCCAGTTGACCTGCACTTCAACTGGTCTGCCGGTTGCGGTCCATTTCCTACCACAACCACCATGCCTTTGGTAAGGTACAAACTAGCTGAAAATGAAGATGTGTCAAACGCCATAATATGCTTCAGCATTGAGTCAAGAACATTGCGAGTGAGAGTGGGTTGACCCCCAAGTCATCATTTACGCAATAAGAAATATTAGCGCCACCATTTTATGCAAACCCGAAATATTCACTGCCAGCCGTCATCGCAGTATAAAGACGTTGCCGTAATGTTTCGTAGCTCTCATATTCTGGAAGATCCAGCTCTGTGCCACATAGTTAGCAAGCTGTGCCATATAGATATTCCCGGGCATTGCTGGTGTACTTACGGTTGAAACAAGTATGAGAGCTTGGGAGACGATCCTTGTTGCCGTAATCACGGTGGATGTTGAAACGGCTGACTCCGTTCATGCCCTCAAGTTCCTTGAATCCATTCAGAGGCACCTTGCTAGTACCCGTAACGAACTGCAGAAGCTTGGCGCGTTCTTCCTTATCGAAAGAGCGGACCGCGCGCCAGAACCACTGAATCTGGGGCGAGGAGGCCGAGTAGTTATGATACTCGGTATTGACCTTCCAATCATCCACTTCGATTTCGGGGAGACCGGAGATTAGCAACTCGAGCTCCTGCTCGTTGAAGATGGAGATCAGATCGGAGGGGATGATCTCATGGAATCCTAGACAGAACGAATTAGCCACATACTCAACAGTCAAGGGGAAATGGGACCAAAACATACCCTTCAGGAAATTGTCCAGCTGCTCCTTGACGGAGCCGACCAAACGGTAATCGACGACCCGTTGGATGTATTCCTCCTTATTTTCTTCAGTGACAGGAATATTACGTCCGTTCTCAATGAGATCGATCACTTGTTTCTCTCCAAAGTCATCCGTCTCGACAGCGAAGGTCTCAGTTATAATGTCAGTAATGTCGTTTTCGAGCATCCAGAGAAGGGACTTGTAGTAGTCAAGGTCAAGCGTCTCCATATCCTTGATGGATACTGACCGACCGAGGATGCACTTGTAGACCGCACGGCTGAAATGGCAGTCAAGGACGCGTCCCTCGTACAGGGCCTTGCCGATGATACGTCCAATGAACTTGAAGAACATCAGATGTTCGGAGTTGACACCACTCAGACGGTTCGGGTGGAATGTAGTCCTGTCCGAAGCAACCGGGATGAACAGAGCGTAGTTGGGGTTGAACATGCCACGCGCGAGAACTTGGAACCATTCTCTAGTCACACCACCGGCATCGACACCCTCTTCACCATGGAAGCGTACGTTCAGCTTGCCATATTTCAGTTCGTCCGCTGTCTTGAAGTACAAGGACTTAAAGGAATCCAAGAAGACTTGGTCACGTCTAACAGACAGCTGAAGAGGTGGATGGGGGTGACGAGGCTCAGCGCCACGGGAATGAATGCGACGAGTAAAGTAGTTGCGCTTGTTGTCAAACTCTAGAACCTTGGGGTTCTTGACCAGCAGCGAGAAAGTGCCACTCATCAACCGGGGGTTTTGTCGCACAAGCTCATTAAGAATCTTGCGATGTTCCTCTGTGAACTTGAAGAAGAGGCTTTCCATGCTGAGACCAGCGTCAACGGAAGTGGTCGACACAGACAACTCCCTACTGTTCCGGGCAAGAGAGGTATCCTTAAGCGTGGTATTCTTGCAAACCACCATTAATGCTTCGATCAAAGGCAGGAGAATAGTTGCGACGTTGAGCATGTTCTCCTTCTGTCGAATAACGGTCAAGCATTCGCTAAGTCTGGTCCACAGAGGCCCGAAAGTAGAGCATTCGTACAACGTTTGTAAAACATCTTCCTTAGCGGCATTGTCAGGCTCGGCTCCCTTCACCTTGTCCATCCGAGAAGGATCAAACAGGTAATCGAGAGCCGTGAGAACGCGCAATAATTTAGCCTGATCAGAACTGGCTGGCGAGAACTTTGCCAAAGCTAGACCCTGCATATCGGTACCGGTACGAGCCTGGTGAATGTGCGACAGCAATTCATCAAGATCAGTGAGAATGACAGTGCTCAGAGTTTGAGCCTGGCTGACCAGCTCGTTACCGATCACGTCCCTAGCCCCGGGCACAGCGGAGAGGTTGTTGATGGTGGAAAGTGTGTCCCGGAATGTTTTTCCGTTGCATTCACGAGCGGCGAGGATATGGACGACCAGCTGCAAGTTGTGATCAGGGACAACTGGTGGTTCGATAGTTCTTCTCTTGTGCTTCTCTTCTTCAGCTGTGGTCTTTGCTTTCTCTTCCTTGGCGGCTTCCGATGGTTCCGTCTGCCCTGGCTGAGCAGTTTCAGTTTGCGGTTGCGTGGTCTCGACGGTGGGAAGCGGTGCATCTGTCATTGTCGTGTCCGTGGCAGATCCCGTCTGATCTGCTGGAACAGGTTGCTGCTGTTCCTGTTCTTCAGTCGGTCTCTCTTCCTGCGCCTGCTCGGGCTGCTTGCCCTTAGCCTTCTCCTCTTCCTCCTGCTTTTCCTTCTCCCGACGGAGCAAAAGTGTAAGAGGCTGTGTGATACTGCTTAGAAGACTTGATAACTGCTCCATGCAATTAGGGTTCTCCATGATCAACTTCCGGTCCAGTAAGGTTAACAATGCATTGAGAGCGAATTTGTTGGCCCTATTATCTTTGCCCTTGCCCTTGCGGAGAGCCTTCAGCTTCAGGGCCGGGGAAGAGTCATGCTCGGTCAAGAAGAACCAAGCAATGTGAGGGTTGTACTGCGATAGGAAAGAAAGAGTTCCCAGGCACTGCTGTACAACCATAATCGGAGTCACTTCATTGCTCACATTCGAAGACCCCTGGAATGACAAGTTCCGTTTGACGGATTGAGGGGTTTTCTGAACCGAGGAGGGCTTAGCACGGAGTGAGAGCTGAGCAAAACTGCGTTCGATCGCCGAGACATCCGCACTACCGTCCTGAAGGACAGATAAGAGAAGGCTAATGACCTCCATCCTGTTCTGGCGGTTCTCGCACACATTATGGAGAATGTCGTTCAACTGGTGGCGCGCGTTGCCTTGGAGAGGCATGAACATCAGACGCAGTAGCGTAGCGACGCCGGCCTTGTCCAGCATCTGGACAATCTGACGTCGTTGTTGCTTTTTAGGCTCTTGATCGTCGGCTGGCTCACGTCGGTGACGGTGGTCGACCCGAGTGATATCGCCGAATTGTGCCAATCGTCTGCCTGGCAACGCACGAGCTTCGGAAAGGAACTCTGGACCCAATGTTGCCAGGATTTCTTCGGGCTGATCAGCCAGAACAGCTTGACGTAAGGATGGGTCTAGCGTAGCCAGAAAACTAGCAGGGTCCATCTCTTCTGCATGAACAGGAGCCGGAGCCGGAGCTGCTGCACCTGCAGCAGCAGCAGCTTGTCGGCGAGCACTGTCACGCTCCCGGCGACGACGGTCGGCCGCTTCTTGCTGCAGCAACTCCTCCCGGATCTCTGGAGGCAAGGCTTCCAAGAACTCTGGATTGATTTCACTGGGCTCTTCGCCAGCAGCAGCAGCCTGAGAACGTTGTTCTGCGAGCTGCTGCATGATGACTTCCTCTCTCAATTCTTCAGGCAAGGCTTCCAGGTACTCCGGATCGATTTCCATGCCAGTGATGTCAAGCTGACGGCCTCTGATAGTCGTGTGCACGCGGGGAGCAGGTTCTGACGGGCCTACATCAGTCTCGGCTGCCAGTGCTGCAGCCTCGTTGCCGGTGTCTGTCCGTTGTACATCGTCCATGGGCTCCGTCTCAATACCGGACGCTTGTCGCTCTGCTTCCTGACGTTCCAGTTCTTGCTGCCGTCTGGCATTCTCCTCCTCTTCCTTGCGCTTTCTCTCTTTCTCCTCCTCTTCCCTGGCGATGCGCTCCTGACGTTCACGTTCTGCGCGTTCTTCTTCACGCCGCTTTCGCTCTTCCTCCATCTGCTTCTCCCGTCTCTTTTCTTCCTCAATTGCAGGGGGCACCAAGATCTTCAACAGGGAGTTGACCACACGCTGGGTCTTCTCAACGTATGCGCTGCTGAACAGAATGCGGGCCTCCTCTTGCCAACGGCTTCTGGTTGTAGCTAAGGCGAAGCTCACGGCTTGGGAAGGATCATCGCGAGTACGGGAAGGAGGAGCTTGGGGTCTTCCAAGGCCGAATATGTCTTGTATCCGGTTAGGCATTGCACGTCTATCAACATGGACGTGGATACCATCGGGACGGGTGATGACCCCAAATCCCGGGCCCCCTTGTCCGCCAATAGCCTGCAAAACTGCGTTCATGAAGCTAACAGGACTATCCATAGGAAGCAGACGTCCCGTCGATACGGGCTCCATGCCATGGACCCAGTCGGTGAAAGCTTCATTGCCAGGTACGCGGGGCTGACCACCTGTCTCGGAGCCACGGTCTGTCCGAACAAGAAGTGGGTTGGTCCCATCATCGTTTCCACGGGCCGGAATTTGAGTTCTATGGAGTCGATACGGCTGAATGGGAACAATACCGTGCCGACTGGGCATGATCCCACTAACCGCAGCCCATGCCGGCCGAGGACCATGGAATCGGGAGTGATGATGGCCTCGTGGCGGTTGCTCATCGCCTTCCCATCCCCAAGGATCCATAAGATCTTCCTCATCATCGAAACCTTGGTAGGACCCTTGGTCGTCGTCGGCATCCTCGAGTTCTTCCT